ATTCTGGAGGGGAGGGGGGGGAGGGGGGAACGGACATATGATGATGTTGGAGAGGAATAGGGGGCGGATTGGGGAGGTTTTGGGCGAGTGGGTTGGGAGGAGGGTGTGAGGGTTGGTGGTCATTGATGTAAGGGGCTCTATGATACGACGCTGCGTCTACATATTCTTGTTTACATAAAGGCATGCGCTGGGGATACTGAGCTTCCAAATGCCCCAAGGTCAGATGGCCTAGAGACATATCGCCAATCCACAAACTGCAACCACCTACAGCGTCAAAGGGACCCAACTACGTACCGTATCTATTTACAGCCCCATGTACCAATGCTCAGTGACGCAAGCCCAAAGATAGGGGTCTACGAAATGGTCACCATGTCAACCACCTCATCCCGATCCTTATTTACATGCAGGGGTTGCTGCATCAACCCTAACCCTCGTTCAAGGACAGTCTGATCAACTTTCACGAACTTTACAAGCTGAATAGGTCAACATCCTCAAACAAACCCAAACATATAAATATTGTTAACAAACAGACCCCAAGTTCCTATGTCCCTTTCCCACCTTTCCCACGGAAAACAAAAGAAATCAAAAAGTCCGAGGTCTCTGTCTTGGATAATCATCGGATTTCATGCGGTGCTTCTTCTTGTTTGGGAAACCAGCGCGAAAACGAGAAACGCGTGGGACATACTTTGCTGCGCGTCTGAGTATTGCAGATGGATAAGGTACAAAAACATCAAAAAACGAAAACACGGAATCTTTGATGATCAATACATAGCTATCTGGTGCTTTGTTGACTACCTTACCTGGATTACCTAGATCGCGAGCCAAGAGTAGAGCCTTGTGAGGCTGCGGTTGGCGGTGCTGTGCTGTTGACTTGGCTTTTGGTTCGGTCTGGGAGAGGTGTGAATGCGGTGTAATCACGTTGGTACCTAATTTTTAGGGTTGAATCGCTGATGAAAGTATGGGCTTTCTTGAGGGTTGGAAAGGGTACCTAGGTTTATAGCGTTGATAATTGGTCCTATCGACAGGGATATCCAGCGCGTGGGACTTGTTGTTTGAAGAGATGGGTCGTTTTGAAGAGAGGAGTGTCGAGAGAGTGAGGAGGAGGGGTGAAGAGCAGGGTCGCAAGCTGAACTGGACCCCTGTTATTGAAGGTGACGGCAATTGGCTCGCTAGCCTGCGTCTTGATTGACAGGGCTGACATGGTCTGAGCATTGGGCAGCGGTTTTCTTTGGGCTGGGCTGGGGTTTCTTTGATGCTTGGGGCCGAGCAAAAAAGATTACCATGATGCTGGGGACTGGAGGGAGCAGGTGGTGGTATCAACTTATATGTATGAATACGGTAGGTGCCTGACTGGTGCTCTTTGCAAGCAGCCCACATGCATGCCACCCGCGACGTGACGGGCAGGAAAACGACAACGGCTTCGAACGGATGGGGAATGCCTGGCGAGTTGCGGCTGTGAGTTGCTGCAGACGCCTCTTTCGTTAGCGCCATGCGTTGTGGTCCCAGTTACACTCACATCCAGACCGCCGGGTTCTGTTTGGTCCTTCTTTCGAGGGTAGCTGTTTCTGCTTGGCTTTCACGGAGGCCAGCCGCAATACGGAAATTCTCCAAATGCGGCGAGGATGCTGTTGTCCGTGTCTGGACTGCTTCCTCGAGTTAAAGATGGCGACGTCCCCGGAGCTGCATTCCAGCTTTCTTTTCTGTCTTGCCCCTGGATTGAAGCGTTCTCCAAACCAAACATGGCAGTCCAAAGTCTTCGCCGGCTGGTCGCCGCCTCGGTATGGCTTCCTGCTGGTGTTTACTCACATATTGCGGGGACTGAGCGATTCAACCCGACATCGCCAGTTGAGACTGGACTGGCACCCGCACGGGTTGGCCACCTCGAACTCCAGCACCCACCAGCACCCACCCCCCATGCGAGAGCCCTCTTCCAACGGCAGTCTGGGGAGAACACCTGCGGGTTCGTGGGCGATGAGCGGGTCCCATTTACATGCAGCGCAGAATGGGGAGCAGAGTGCCGTGTAAACTCGGATGCCCGCGCCATCGGCTGCTGTCTCTCCACCGCCTGCAACATCTGGACCGCCTGTCTTCCTTACACGTCCTCCCGCCTGGCATCAAACCGTGACACAGACCGAACCATGTACTGGTATGCTCTTCCCGCCTGTACTCACTCCTTCTTGCCTGTACCACTAACCTCGCCCGGCTCCAGCTCCGACCTGGACGAGCCAGAATGTGCCACCTTGGTCTACGCCGACGGGGACTACAGCGGCTGGACAATTCCCCTCTGTGCAGCCACGTCCGTGGTCCTGCCCATCTTCGACATCACTTCCGGTTCCACCGGGGGTGTTACCACTGGTGGCGGTGGTGGGAGAAGCGGTGTTGCCGGTCCCAGCGGCGTCGCCAACCCGACTGATGGCGGCGGCGTTGCCAACCCGACCGACAGCGTCAACGACGACAACAACAACAACCGCAACCTCGACACCGCCAACTCTAACGGCAAGACCCCCGAGGAAGCCGTGGCTTCGACGGTGAACACTGCCTTGATCGTTGGCGCGGTAGTCGGTGGTATCAGTACGTTCTCCCCCCAGTCCCTCCCACTTGACCTGCTTCCTGTTTTTCTGTTCCCCTTTCAAAGTGCTCATAACTAACCTACCATCGATTCTTGCGCACAGGCTTCCTAGCAATGGTAGGCATCATCATCTTCCTCATCATCTACTGCGGCCGCCGCAAGAAGAGAAACCAGGAACTCCGCCTCCAGCAAGCAGGCCAGCCAATCACCATTGCTGGTGCTGGTGCTGGTGACGGTGGTACCGCTCCTCCAAACTTTGCTCCCCCTCCTCAGCAGCAAATGTCCACCGTCCCAGATGGCGCACCGCCGATGGGATTCGCCCAGGGAGCCTACGCCCATCATGGAGATAACAAGCCGGCCATGCAGGAGAGCGTCACGCCGGTTACCAGTGTGGCGCACGTGACGCCCACGGGAACGCCAGCGCCGGGATACACTGCTGTTGCTGAACAGCATCAGCAACAACAACAGCAGCAGCAGCAGTGGGGGTCTCCTCCGGCGCCGGTGTCGCCTCAGTTCACGGGGCAGTTGGGGAATCAGCAGCCGGCGATGCCAGTTTCACCACAGGTGACGGGATATGGGATGTACGCAGGTCAACAGCCGCAGCCGCAACAAGCACAACAACAGGCCGGGGACTATTTCCCGAGCAATGCCGTCGAGCTGAGCACGCAGAGGGGTGATGGGCAGGTGCATGAGGTTCAGTAAAGGACAGCGAGTCTATCGACGAGCATGCCGTGGATGTGTACACGATTTTGATGAGTGAAGGGGATGATCGTGGGAAGGAAGTCAGCATATATATATATATTTTTTTTTGATGGGACTTGGGTTGGGAATACCTGGATACACGATCGTAATAACAGCGGCGCTTTTTACTTGAATAGAGTGCTTCGTTGCAACAGTGCTTCTGGTGTTGTTCTTTTCCCCCTTTCGGCCTTGTTCTGCCATGCAATCACGTTTGGTGAGCCCTAGCTGCATATTTTCCATCATTGCTTCGCTCTCAAGCGGCTCGGGAAAGCTGATCAAAACATGCCTCATCCCCAATCGCAAGCTGTGCCTTTGCCAAGTGCGGCACTGTCGAGTCCCCAAATGTTACGTGCTGAGTAAGAGTCTCGTGACGGCTCTCATAGTGCCAAGGTACGCCTGAGCAAACAACCGTCCGATGGTGGAAATTGCCAGGCTGACGCTCCTCTTACGAAGGTCTAGTTGTGGTTGTAGTCTGCCAACGGGTTGGTTGGGATACCGGGTGATTCAGCAAATATCAACGGCTGAGTGCCTTTTGTCGGCATGGAGAGGGCTGCATCGCGGACGGCGGCGAGATAGGTAGATGAGAAGGCGGCGGTTCGGTAAACCTCTCCAGCGATTGGTATAAAGAGACGAGCTCCCAGGCATGTCGTCTGTCTGGATCATCATCAAACACAGCAAACTTCCTCAGTTTGTCAAAGATGGTCCACCTCGCTACCTTCATTTCCCTGCTGGGCTTCGACGGCACCAGTCTGGGCCGCCACCCCCTCGCTGCCCAACTACCGCCTTGTTTGGGGCGACGACTTCAACTGGTCGGCCGGCTCGAGCGTCAGCAACGGGTGGGAGGTGTTCAGGCGGTCCCGGTTCAACAACGACAACAATGAGGCACAAGAGCACCGCGACCACACCAACAATATCCAGCAGTCGGGCAGCGGGGAGCTCAACATCATCCCCACCAAGGAGAACGGCATCTGGTGCTCGGGCCGTCTGCACCAGCCAAATACAAGGGGCTGTGGCCTGCATTCTGGGCTCTGGGACAGGGCATCAAGGAGGGCGCGAAGTGGCCCAAGTGTGGAGAGTGGTATGGGACCGGCGACGGAACGGGGGGGCTTGGGTCGGTTGTGAGAGTCAGGTATGTCGGAGTTTATGAATCTGTTTGATAGGTAGTAGGGTGAGTCACCCGGCGAAACGTGGAATTGGCGGCTGGTCCGAGTGTACCCTTCCAAGTGTGCGGTGGGAGTACCTTATTTTTAGCTCTATACCTTATAAAAATCAGCTCGCAGATGGTTCAATGAAGTTTGCTCTGGACATCACCCACATAAGATACATCATGTCGGACCGCTTCTTCCTCACGCGGCTCCCCCGTGAGATCCGTGATCTCATCTACCACAAGTACCTCTTTTGCCGACCAGGGCTATGTGTTCGACTCGGGGGCAGGCAAGCTGAGGCTGAAGCACTCTGGTGAGCCCATCAATCTGGCCCTCTCGTACCCAAGCAGGATGGTTGCCGCCGAGATGCGAGGCCTGGCTCTGCGCATCAACACGGTCGCCTTCTCGACCATGACCTCGCCGGCCCTGAGCCAAGAGCTGGGCGCTTCGAATTTATTCTCCACCACATCCATTTTTCAGGAGCAGGTGCTGCTCTACAAGATAACCCGCCTGCCCGAATTCAGCCTGGATAAACTTGAGGCAAGCTGCCCCGGTGCAAGTCGTCTGTGGCCGTTTGTCTGATGGAATAAGCGAGAGCGTAAATGGTGAGTCTCCCCTGAGCTCGCCTATCCCCTGGGGCAACGTGTTGCTTGGAGCAGGCTACGGTAATGTGTGGTTTCCAACAGATAACTGGGTTTCTCTTTTCCAGTTCTCCCGCTTAGATCTCGCCCATCGTCCCGATCTCGTCGCTCAGGTGGCCCCATTATCTGATTGCGCACGCCTGAGCCCGAACTGGATCTCTGACGCCCTATCGTTCTGGCTAGCAGAAGCCCTGGTTCTCTGCGACGCCGGGATGTCCAGCAATGTTTACTCGTTGACATTGGTCGCTGGCCCGATGCGCGAAACAACCAGCCACATCTTTCACGACGTGGTGCACAGGGACGACGCCTGGCAGCGTGCCGCGCGAACCCAGTTCGGTCTTGAGTCCGACGACGGCGATTTGGCAGCCCTCTGCCGGGCGGGCCAGCACCCATCCATGCAATCTCTAAACAGAATCACTCAGATTTACAAGTACGCCGGCTTCACAGAAGCTCTCGCTGCGCTAGCTTCCCGTACCTCTTCTCGGGGTGGCCGCTTTGGCGGCAACTTCGATGCCGGCACGCCCTGGAGCGCCGCAGAAGTCGACGCTCTTGTCGAGAAACACAGCAAACTCGATGTCGATGAGTGGGTAGAAACGTATTTTGACAGGGCAGATCACCCCATGTTTGTTGACCCCGAAAAATGGGTACCAAACGGTCCCGCCGTACCCCAAGTTCTTTGATCACTTTTTACAAAATGTCGTGGTCGATCGAGCCCTGCTTTATCGTGTGTGTATCGACAACAATCCGTACGTACCAGACGCGAACTGGGAAGACGACGACGACTGATGTTGGCGGTGAGTGTGTATAACACGGAGGATTAGGTGGATGGGTACATTGGTGTAACTTGCCTACCTTACCTTAGGTAGATAAAATTTACCAGCATGTGTTGCCGTGTGGTGAACACCCAGACTCTCATTTTGAGAGAAATCCAATGCTGTTTCTGGAAGACATACTGCCAAAATCGGAGGAAGATTTCTTCTTCATTTCTACATTCACAACCCTAAATCTTCCAATGAACCTGAAGTATAAGGCCGATAGAAAATAAAAATCCAAAATTAAATAAGCTGTAGAAAATATAGGTATTTTGGTATATCGAGCTTGTATTCTTCAGCTTTTTAGCGGAATAACAACTTGTTATATATTTAGATATTTATATTTCAATTTTTAAACCGAGATTAAGATTATATAATTATAAGAAATGCGTTTTACTAAAGATTTAACTAAATAACTAACGTATATTATAAGCAAGTGACCCACTTCCTTCGTAATATAACACCTTCGCACTCAACAGCAATTTCCTTAACTATTTAAGATACTTTCTAATTCAAATAAAGCCCACATAATTTTAGCCCTCCAAGCGCTTCAAAACGACAAGAATCTAATGTCACAGTTAACCTAACGGCAAGTCGCGCTATATATAGGGCGCAGGTCGCCCCTAGCTAATTATTAAGGAAGCTAGGGAATAAGCTAATCAGGCCTAAATAAAAGTGCTATGTGTGACGAACCCCTGTATAGAACCTCTGAAAGGGATACTAATTAAAGGTAACTTTTAATAATTAGTTCGGTATAACTAAATAGTATATAATAAAATATCTTAATGTAAATACTAAATACTGTAAATATAAACTTAAATTATATACTACGGAACTATCTATTTATATTAGCTAGTTCTTTCGTATATATAAACCGGTTTATTACTATTATTACTAGTAATAATATTAATTATTACTTGTCGCTTATTAAGGCTAGTAATAATCGTAATTATTACTTTTAGCGCTAATAATAATTTAGCTTTCTTACTTTTCCGTACTAGTAGTTAAACGGTTCGCGCCCCGTATTCTCCGCTTATATTAGGACCGTAATATAATATCCTTCCTCTAGGTTAACGTCTTATTAGCCTAGTCTCGTCGACTATATACGTTTTTCCTTCTTTTTTTATAAACCTCTCTCTAATTATATAATGGCCTAACTAACGTTATATCTATAGTAAAACCTCTATCGTCGTTTATATAATATTGTATTAAACTCGCTTAAAATATTATTAAAAACGGTTTCCTCGTTATACTTTACTCGTAGTATAATTCGTAGGGGTTATCTTACCGTATAATGGATAAAGTAAAGCGTTATAAGGCTTATATATATCGTAAGCGTTTATATAATAGTACCGGTATCCCTATCTCCTCGCGTAAGTCTCCCGTTACCTTTCTTTTCTTCTTACTAATCTCTTTTTAGTAAATAAGATTATACAAGAGTAACGTCGTTTTTAGGAGGAAGAGAAGCGGGCCGAAACTCTTTTAATCGAATACTAATAGAAAGCTTTTAAGGCTTTAACTCGTCTATCGCGAGTCCGTTTTTAACGTAAATTTCTTATAAATAAGGGAGCTATTATAGTCGCCCGCAGCTTCTTTTCTCTCGATAAATTAGAAACTACCGAACGTATCGAATAGGAGGAAGCTACGTAAGCCGCGCCGGCTATACCGTTATTTAACAACGTTCCTTCCTCTAATTATATTCCCTTAAATCCTTCCGACTTTTCCTTTCTAGATCCTTCCTTAAGCTTCGACTAGCCGCCTAACCTTTCCTTAAACCCGGGCGTAGCCGGTCCTTCCTTCCTGACCCCGCAAAGTGCCGCCGAGGGCGCGCTTTCTACTTTTTAAGGTAATTAAAACGCGTAGTACTACTTATACTTAAGTCTTTCCATACCTTTTAACCTCGTAGTGTAGTGCGTAGTACGTCGGCTACCGCGTTAAAGGTATAGGTTCGATTCCCGTCGAGGTTCTTCCGTATCTAAGTTTATAGATACCCCTCCGTAGCTTAGGTATAGATCTTTTTAGCTATATCTTTAACTTTTTTTACGGTAGTGGAGGCGTATAGTATTAGTTAGGCCTAGATTTCTTTATACTTACTAACCTCGTAGTATAGTACGTAGTACGTCGACTACTATATTAAAGGCGTAGGTTCGATTCCTACTAAGGTTTTTTTATATTTAAGTTTATAAATACTTTTCTATAGTTTAAGTATAGATCTTTTTATTATTTAGGTTTTGGTCGGTTTAAGTATTATTAGTAAAATTCTTTTTACTTATTTAAGTAGTTAAGATATACCTATAGTTCCTATAAGTTATTTATAATTAAATATTTTAATTAATTAATTAAATACTTTAATTAACCTTTATTAAGCTATAAATCTAATATTTCTTTTATATTATATTTTTCTTCTTCGTCCTCCGCTACTACTTATATATTAGCTTTATTTATATATAGTATAGGTTCCAAAAGTAAAATATAAAAAGTATATAACCGTAAACGTATTGTATTAAGTAACTCTAATTCGAATACCGTTTCTAAAATCTTTTTTTTAACTTTAAATAGGCCTACTTTTTTATAGTTTAGCTTCTTATTAAGTCTTTTAATACGTAAATTATATATAAAAAGGAATACTATATCCCCCCTTTTAAAACAAAGTCCTTCGAGCCTTTTAGTATTATAGTATTTTCGTATCCTTTCCTTTATAAACTCTAGCTCTTACTTTAGCTTACCGTAAAGTATATATAATTTATTTACTTTAATTCTAGCCTTAAGTACCTTAACCGTAGGTCCTTACTGTCGGTTTACTTTATAGCCGAAATTCGCGAAGAAAGGTATAACTTTCGTGGTTTTTATTAATAATATATTATATATTAATTATACCGTAAATAATAATTTAATTTAATTATCCTACTCGAAATTAATATAATTTCGTAAGTATTATTCTATAATTTAATTAAGCCGTTCCGTTTAACCGTCCGTTTAAGGGTAATAAACTAAAGATACTTTATTTATTACTTTTAGTTTAGTTATTAACGCTCTTTATAACTTCGATACGAATTTAGTATTACGGTCCGTAATAAATTTTTTTAACTATATATATATTAATATAATATACTATAATACTATATTCGCTAATTACTTTACCGATTAAGTTTTTTTATAAAGTAAAAAATATATTTATTTAATAAGCCTATCGATTACTATTAATATATTATCGTATTTAACGCTAATTACCGTATTTTTTAATTTTAATAATTTAATAATAAAGTCTATTATAATTAAATTTTATAATTATTTTACTATTAATAATAGCTTTAGAAATCTATATAGTTTATACCTCGTAACCCTCGTTTTCTCGTACGTATAGTATAACTAAATAACTTCCTTAACGTCGTCCTTAATCTTTAGTTAATTAAAATACTACTTAATCTTTTTTATAGTTTTAGCGATACCTATATATCCTTTAAACTTCGATCCGTAAATCTCTATTACTAATATTGTCCTATTACCTAGCATTACGTACGCTCGATTTTTATACTATAGTCTTCCCTAACTATCTTTTTAGATACCTTATAGCTCTAACTTTTCCTATTAATATTACTCCGTAATATTATTACTTAACCTTCCTTAATATTTACTGCTAGAAGTAACTTACTTACCTAATATATTATATAATACTTTATTTACGGCTAAAGTAAATATTTAAGAGTGCCTTTTAGTATTTCCTCGAGTAATAATAGTAATTCCCTAAATATATCTTTATAATAATTAAATCGCCGGCTAAATACGTCTACCTTAACGTTTTTTAATCCCTTTTTATAATTAATTTAAAAATTAAATTTTAAAAGAAACTTTAATTATTATATTTATTATACGTTAAGGACTTTTATAATAGTAAAATATTATAGGTTTTTATAATTTATATAAACCTATACTTTATAATTAATATTATTAAAATATAACCTCTATTCTTCGAACGCTTTAATAATAGCGAATAGCTCTTTATTATAGATTAAGTAGTTTTAACGTATCTCTTTTAGCTTCTTCGAAAAGAAAGTTACTAGGTATAGCTTCCCGTTATTATTTCGCTATCCTAATTATTTACCGATCGTATAGTTTAATATATCCGCCTCGACCTTAAATAATTAATTAAAGTCTAGTAATTTAAATACCAGGTCCTTTAAAATAGCTTTTTTTAGCTTTTAAAAAGCCTACTCCTTTTTCTACCCCTACCGGAACTCTACGTCCTTCTTAATTAAGTAATTAAGTAATTACGCGATTCTTATATATTTATAAATAAATATCCGATAGAAGTTCGTAAATCCTAAAAATTCCCCTTAACGTATATTTATAATTACGGCGTAAGCTAATTTTTAATTACCGTAATTTTCCCCGGTTTTATACGAACCTTACTTAACGATATTAAATATTTTAAATATATTATTTTTTATACGTAAAACTCACTTTTTTTTTTATTAATTAAAAGTCTAGCTCCATATAGCGCGTTAAATATTTTTCGTACGTATCGCTTATACTTTTCTAAAGTACGTAAGTAAATAAAAACGTTATTAAAGTAGTATATTATTATTTTATCGAGGTACTTCCGGATCGTATAATTAATAAGAGATTAAAACGTTATAAGTATATTAATTAGCTTAAATAATATTATAAGATACTCGAAATAACTATAGGGTATACGAAACGTTATTTTTTATTTATTTCTTTCTTTAATCCGTATATAGGTATATCCGATAAATATATTTAAATATATAAAGTATTATACCCCTATTAATTAATTCCGTAACTTAGATATTAACGGTAGCGGGTAATTATTTTTTACCGTTACGTTATTTAATTAGCGGTAATTTATATATAATCGTAAGCTATTGTTTTTTTTCGGTATAAAGAATACGGGGTATCTTACTAGCGATATAGACTCCTTAATATATTTTCTTTTTAGATTTTCGTTTAAGTACTTCCGTAGCTCCTTACTCTACTTATCGTTAGTATAATAGACTTTAAATAGCCGTAATTTAGCTTTCTCTTTTAATTTAATTTTATAGTCCTACGGTCCTCGCTCTAAAAGTCCTTTTAAATACTTAGCCGTAAAGGCTAAATATCCTCGATATTCTATTAGTACCGCTTTTTTCTTACCTTTCTTTACGTTATTATAGTAAGTATACTTATTAACCTCCAATATCTTTACTAACGTTATTAACCCTACTTCTTCGATTTTACCGCTTATATTGATAAAGTATACTATTACTTTTTAAATTCCTTACGGTAATACCGTAAAAGGTACTTATCCTATACTTTACTCTATATATATACCTAATTTCCTATCGTTAATTAAATACTTTTAAAGCTCTTTTAATCGTAAATAACTATTATCCCTCTAATCGATATTTAGGTTATAGTCTTTATATTATAGTTACCTTAAAATTATATCCTTCGAAGGTTTTATATTTATAATATCGAATATAATTAAAATTATTTTTCCTTTAATTATAATAATTAAAAATAATATTTCTCTATAGACTCTTTACGTCGGAAATAGTCCTTATATAACGATTTATTCCTTCTTTTTTCTCTATAGTATTTTAGTTTAATATACAAACTATAGCGAAATTAGGTTCGTTTCTATACCTCCGTTTACTAATATTACTGTTTAAATATTCTTTTAATATATTATAACCTAAAGGCGTTTATTTTTTTTATTTTTTCCTTATATAATAGTGACCTCGCTAATAAGTACCGGATTATTATCCTATACCTTCGCTTTATATTAATATTTACGAAAATACTATTCGTGGTTCGTTAAAGGTTACCGGCCCTCGCGAAGGGCTGTAAATCGTTTCTTAAGCGATTATATTGTTTAAAAGCGTCCTCTTACTCCGGATTAATTAATAATATAAAGTTTTTTAACTATACTTACTTAGCTTCTTCTTATCTTCCGTCTTTTACTTCCTTAATACTCTTTCGTATTTATATTTAGTAACGGTTCTTCGCTTTATTTAATTAGTATTTAATAGCTACGACCTCTACTACTTTTGGTCCCTTTAATATAATAATTATTGCGATTTCCCTTTTTTAACCGAGTTACTTAAATACTTTATAATCCTTTTTAAAGTATTTTACTTTACTATAATTAAAATACTTAAGGTTATTTCTACCTTAGCCCCGGCCTTACGGCTTTTACTATTAGATAGTATCGACCTCTATAGGTCCTACGTAGGTAGTCCCTAAAACGTAAGTCCCGTACGGCCGTCTCTTTTTATTATTATTAAAGTAATAAAGTCTTTATATATATATATTTTTATATTCCTTACGTCATTAATATTATTAATCGTCGATATAGATTATTATTATAATATATTTATCGATAGTTTCTAGCCGCTTTATTTAATATAGTTTATCCTTAACTTCTTCCTTAAACTTATTATAAAACACTTATATTAACCTTTTATCGTTAATCGCGTTACGGAATATATTTATTTTAAATACTATAGCGTAATCGGTAGTAAATCGAGTTTATTTAAAGTTAGCTAGTCGCTTTTAAATACACTTACTTTTATTATACTCTTTAAATACTTCCTTAATTTTCTTTTTAAAACTTTTATAAAACTTAAAATATATTTAAGTAATATCCTCCCTCTAATTAAGCGTATTATTAAAGTAATTTCTTAAAATTGGTTCGAATTACGTAAATGCCGTATCTTTAAGCCTAGACGCGGCGTATATAACTTTAGATTCCTCGTTTAAGAAACGAAAAGGGTAGTACCGAAAATAAACTTTAAGTTAAATTAAGAATCCTCCTAGCTCTCCTTTTATACTTCTATAGTAATTAGGTACTTCGAGCTTCGTACGCTTTCCCTCTTTACGTAAAGTATTAATTTTTTAATAGAGTATAGCGTTTCTTACGTAAAGGTATTATAGGAAAGGCGTAACTTATTTTTAAGCTTTTAAATACAAGCGAGAAGCTAATTAATAGTAGGTTGGGTCGGGATTCCCTAAGTATTAATGTTTCCGGCTATAGCGTTTTAATACTTTTAATTTATTTATAATAAGTTAAAGTAAGTATATAACGTGTAACGAACTCCTATATAGAACCTCTAAAAGGGATACTAATTAAAGGTAACTTTTAATAATTAGTTCGGTGTAGCTAAATAATATATAATAAGATGTCTTAATGCAAATACTAAATACCGTAAATGCAGGCTTGAATTGCATACTGCGGAACTATCTATTTACACTAGCCAGTTCCTCCGTATATATAGACCGGTTTATCACTATTATCACCAGTGATAATATTGATTATCACTCGTCGCTTACTAAGGCTGGTGATAATCGTGATTATTACCCTTGGCGCTAGTGATAATCCAGCTTCCCCACCTTTCCGTGCCAGTGGTTAGACGGTTCGCGCCCCGCATTCCCCGCTTATATCAGGACCGTGACACTATGGCGCCAAAGCTCACGAGCAGTCTGCAGGATGCAAGATGCTAAGGGTGATCAGAGGCATAGCACGACGAGCACGTTGCAGGATGCAATGTGCTAGGAGTGATCGGGGCCATAGCAGGGCGAGCACCTCACGGCCCCAGGATCTATATATACGGAGGAACTGGCTGGTGTAGATAGACAGTTCCGCAGTATGCAATTCAAGCTTGTATTTACGGTATCTAGTGTTTACATTGAGACATCTTGTTGTGCACTGTTTAGCTGCACCGAACCAATTGTCAGAAGTTACCTTCAACCAGTATCCCTTTCAGAGGTTCTGTACAGGGGTTCGTCACATCTAAACGAACGAACCGCAGCCAAAATCTATAGAATCGATCGTAAGACTCTAGGGCGTTAGCGCGCTGGCCGGCCTATACGACGCGATACTATACCTATATCGAAGAAGCTTACTTAATCCGAAAAAGATACTATTATTAAATACGTTATTAAGCTATATACGTAAGCTTTTTTACTAAGATTACGTAATATAAAAGAAATAGCTAACCAACTACTACGCGTATACAACGCGCTCTCTATTAGTAAGCTCTAAGCATATCACTTCGTTAAACGCTAATTATAACTCCGTATACGTTTTACATATAAATACGACTATTAAAAAGCTAAATATAAAAATTTAAAGGTTATTACCGAATAATTTACGTCTATACGGAATATTAAAGTTAAATATAATATTATAAATAATAATATTTATAACTTCGACGAAACTAAATTTATAATAAATATTATTTTCGCAGGTATAGTAATTATAACCTCAGACGGCCTTAAAAAAGTAAAACTAATCTAGTTTAGTAACTATAAATAAGCACCTATAATTCAAGGAATCAATACCCTCAGCTAAACTATCCCTCCCTTTATTATTTTAGCCCCGTAGTACTACTTACTAACTAATATACCGAATATAACTTCCTAGCCGACTAGCGTATTTCAATTACCGATAATAGTTAAACTATTAATACGGTAAGCTTAAATTAAATTAAGTACTTCGATTACTACACGGCGTCCCGTATAAAACGTAAATACCGGTTGTTAATCCTCGACGGCTACGAAAGCTACTACTTAACCGAATTCAAGCGTTACTATTAATAAAATAATAATATTACGCTCTATATACTTCTATATTTTTTTTTTACTTTTAGCTACCTGGTATCAGCTACTTTGGGCCGCTAAAGTAGGCGTAGAGTTATTAAATCAAGGACTTAATATATATATATGTTAACTATATAAGTACGCTCGAATTCCTTCTATACCTTCCGTTAAAACTTTATTAACCTCTATAATAAAAAAAGATATATAGGGTAGCTTTATAGTAGTTTGGGGTGGCGGCCACAGGCTTGAGAGTATGAGTAAGGAAGCCGGGGCTCTCGGAGGACTCAGGAGTTCAGGGGTCATGTATATAAGCAGTCTGCTTTGGACATTCTATTTTAGACAGGACATCGACTTTTATTTCTTTATATTTTGTGCTTTGCACGCGTGCAGTCAATTCTGGCCCTCTGATCAGGCCAATCCGGTGCTTATTATGTGGCCTGCGAGCCCATAGTGTCTTTTCTTTGTCCTGCGTGAAGTGCGGCCTGCGAGCGAGTCACTGTCACAATGTTAGTTTATATGATGATTCAACTAGGCCTTTACCTTGATTTGCAAATTAGGTATTCGAACTTAACTTAGTTGATTTGGACATTTGAAAATTAAATTTTTCTTGAGAGGGGGTAGGGTGGAAGAGGCAATTCCACTCCTAACTACACACCCCACTCAAGTCCAAAAGCGGCAATACATTTCCCTTGACTGGAAGAACATTTGATTCGCCAGACAGTATATTAGCACCCCCCCCTTTCTTCCTCTGTCTTAGTGTTGGCCATGTATCAAATGGCTCCTCTCGATCCGGCAGTTGCACGTGAGAACGCTTGGTCGACGAAATGGCGGAAATCTTGTCTCTTCAGGCTAAAAGAAGGACTGGCTACCGATCCACTTTGGAACCCGAGACCCAGGTTTCCCGTGCGTCTTGTTACGTCGATCTGCATCGTTAGCGATATGTTTAATACCGGGGATTGACCTCTTCACGTCTCGACTTTTTGTTCTTGCCTTTTCACTTTTCTCTTCTTCCCCAAACAACAAAGGGGCTCTCGGCCGAAATGGCGCCAGATATTGCCATGAACCTTGCTCCCCACCCCCTCTCGAGGCGTTATCTTGAGCAACACGATTCTCTGTCCAGGCGGTTCAGCAGTTTCCTAACTGGGAAGGTGACTTTTGTACGTTCCAGAGGGAACAACAACAGGACGAGCAACCGCTTCTCTCCCCAGACCGGATTCTCCCATTTTGACAGCTTGGCAGGATTCAGATGTGCGTTGGATCCTTTTACCGTTGTTTCTCAATATCTTCCTCCTCAAGGAAGTACTACTTTCTGTTCTTGTTCCCCCCGTGTAACGATCCCACCCGTCCTTTTGCTGTGGCTCCTACCCATGATGTCTTCCCAACTGCCGTCAGCGAATGGCGCTGCCACACCCGCGCGGCACTCTGCACCGCACGCACACGGGGCAGCCCTGGCACAGCGGCTCATTCCCGGCCGGACAATATTGGGCCCACACATGGTCCAAAATTCCCGATCGATGGCTGTTCCCGGAGTTCATCTCTTGGCTTTGACGGGAGCATAATGTCAGCATTATCAAGCTCGGAAACCTTCCCCAAGTATTCTCTCGTGAGATGTATTTTTCTCCCCTTTGGTTCGCTGTCTGGGATCAGATTACATGCCAAGTTTGGAAGACCAGCAATGGCGGTCGAGGGATATCATGTGTCTTGATATCATCTTTTGGTTGCTGCGCCATCCTACCAGACAATCACAATGGTACCCTACAAGCAACTCCCTTGACAGCTTGCACCACGAATTGTCAGTATCACGCCAGCGCAAGAAAAGAACGACGTTGACACCTGCTCGCTAGACTAGCTCCCGTCTTGGGTAGGTCGTAAGGCGGTTTTGATCTTGGCCACCCTCTTCTCATTTACATGGCACCCGCATTCAGCATCGTGTCAAAGTTCTAAGCATGGCCTTGTTCCTACCCTACCCAGGTTGATATAGGAAAAAGATGGTGGAGAAGGTCTGACATCTTGTTCGCGATGCCCTTTGCGGAAGGTGGTGATGATTTGGGGACCAATATGTCAACGCCATCACGGGTAACCTCCCTCTTTCTACCTATTCCCAGCCACCAGTCCACAAGCTGATGTTGTCTAAGACAGAGATAAATAGACATGCTCATCTCGCTGTTGTTTTTCTGTTGCAAGATCACCATCATCACTTTCTGTCTCTCTCTCTCTGTCCTCGTCCTCCTCACTTGTCTACTCCCGAGTTTAACAACAGACTTCAACATGCAGCTCCTCCGGGCCACCACCTGCCTCCTCCTCCCAACCCTGGCGTTGGCCGCTCCTCCTGTCAGGGAGGCACCCCTCCTCACTCCCCGCGGTGCAGCCGCCTCTCAGCTCATCGACGGGAGCTACATCGTCAAGCTCAGAGACGGCAGCAGTGATGCCGTCCTCCAGGGTGCGGTCAAGGGGCTGAGCACCCAGCACCTCTACAAGGCCGGCAGGTTCAAGGGCTTCGCCGCCAAGCTGTCCGCTGCGAAGCTGGCTGCCATCCGCAGCTTCCCGAGGTGTGTCCATCCTACCTTATCCAGCGGACCGTTTGATTCATGATGCTAAACAAAAGTCCCAGGTCGAATTCGTCGAACAAGACGCCGTGGTCCAGGCATACGACTTCCTCACCCAGGAGGACGTCCCCTGGGGCCTCGCCCGCATCTCCCACCGCAGCCCAGGCCAGACCTCGTACGTCTACGACGAGTCCGCCGGCGAGGGCACCTGCAGCTACATCATCGACACGGGCATCTACGTCAACCACACTGTATGTTTATTTTCCTTCTCCCCCCTCACTCTCACACCCTCATCATTTTTCACTAACCCCCCCCTTCCTTTTCCCCCTTGAAGCAATTCACCAACCGCGCCCACTGGCTAGCAAACTTCATCGACACCGACAACACAGACGGCAACGGCCACGGCACCCACGTGGCCGGCACCATCGGCGGCATCACCTACGGCGTGTCCAAAAAAACAAGCCTCTACGCCGTCAAAGTCCTCCGCGCCTCCGGGTCCGGCACCCTCGCCGCCGTCATCGCGGGCATCGACTTTGTCGCCGCCGACTTTCCCACCCGGGGCTGCCCCAACGGCGCGACGGCCAACCTGTCCCTCGGCGCGTCGAGGAGCACGGCCGTCAACGCCGCCGCCGCCGCCGCCGTCAGGGCGGGGATTTTCCTCAGCGTCGCGGCCGGCAACAGCGCCGACGACGCCTTCTTCTACAGCCCAGCGAGCGAGGAGACGGTCTGCACCGTTGGGGCGACGGATGAGGGGGATGTGAGGGCTTGGTTTTCGAACTACGGGGAGGGGGTCGACGTTTTTGCGCCCGGGGTCGGGGTGGAGAGCGCGTGGATTGGGGGGCCAAGCGCAACGGTGAGTGAGACCCTTTTTTTTTTTTTTTTCTTTTTTTTTTTTTGTTTTTTGCATGCATTACCAGGTGGACTGTGGCTGATGAAAGAGAGGTAGAACACCATTTCGGGAACGTCGATGGCGGCGCCGCATGTGGCCGGTTTGGCTTCGTATCTGCTTGCGCTGCTGGGACCAAAGACGCCGGCGGAGCTGTGCGAGTACATTAGGGAGACCTCTACTAACGGCACCATCACGGATCTGCCCACGGGGACCTTCAACGGGATTGCGTTCAACGGAAACCCGGGGGCTTTGTAAACGCGCTGGCGAGTGGTGGATACCGGGTTGCGAGTTGGCGGACCATGATGAGGGGAGGCTGCTGGGTGGGTATTTTATGAGGCAAGTAGATACGTGATGCTCTGATGTTTTTGTGTTTCCTTTGGATAGATTTCCAGTCTCCGATGCTTTCATTCCCAGGTTCATCCGAATCTGATCATGTTGGCTTTTTATTAGTTGGTTTCTGTAGCGCTGCTCGACAGTCATTTGGTAATCATAGTACTATCCATACTCACTTGCATATCGTCTCAAATCAAACACTTTGCAAGCAGTCAAGCTTCATTGAACAAGGGCATGCACACGCCCAACCATTTCCCAGTAGGTACCTGATAAAGCAAAGACCTAAAACAACATCAAAGAAACACAAACAGTTTCCTATCAAATGCTCAGGGGGTATTCATAGCAGCAACCGCGGCAGCCAACCAGTTCATCAGCCTTTTGTTCCCTCTTCCTCACCACAGTACTTCAGCTTCAGTTCTTCCGAAAAGGAAAAAAAAAGAAAAAATGGTAATTGGTATCATACATACACACACACAACCCCGACCTTCCCACTCTTGTTTGATCAAAACTTTGAATAAAGAAAAAATGCCAGTAGGCCCATCCATTCCCTTCTCACTCATTCCTTACTCCCATTTTCCTTCGTCTTCTCCTCTTCCACCTTCCCCCCACCCTCACCTCCACCGCCATTATTACCACCCCCAAGAAACAAACTCCTAAAATCAGCATTACTCTTCTTCGGCCCAACAAGAGCAACCCCATTCGTCCTCACCCCCAACCCCGGCGCCCCCGTTCCCATGCCCATCTTCGGCTTCGACCTCCCCAGCACCTGCGGCCGGTTGATACTCGGCGGCGGCGGCATCAACTGCGCAGCCGTCGGCGGCTTCTTCCTCTGCTTCTCCGGCTCCGGACGCGCACACGGGTCACTCCCCGCCACCTTCTTCTCCCCTTTGCTCTGAAACAGCTCCTCCGTCGTGCCAACACGCAGCTTCTGACCAGCTTCCACCTCCAGCCCGTCGATCACCAGCTGAGCCTTCCCCGCCGACGCGGCATCCTTGTACTCAACAATCGCGCCCCCATGCCGGGCATGCAACGTCAGCTTGACAAACTCCCCGGCCGGCTTGAGCAAATTCCCCACGCGGGCTTCGTTCATCGTGTCAGGAACGCCCAGAATGACAACCTTTCGATCTCTCGCCGCACCGCCGCCGCCGCCAGAAGATACTGTTGATTCGGCAGCTGTGGACGCAGGGGATTCGGCATCCTCGGCGCCTCCCCAGGCTGTCGCCGTCTTCTTCTTCGTCCCCTTTGGCATCGAGGGCTCGACCTTGATCGGATGCTGTCCAAACATGGCCTTGTCCAGCAGCTTGATGGCCTCCTGCGCCTCCTCCTTGGTCTGCATCACCACAAACGCCGTCCCCAGATGCGGAATCCGCACGCTGACCACCTTGCCAGCCTTGGTAAAGTGGCCTTCGACCTCGTCCTCCTTCATGGTGCGGGGGATGTTGATCACGTGCAGCTCTCTCTCCTCTTCCTGCGCCCCTTGCCGGTGCTGCTTGTGTGCTGGGTCGGATATCTTGACCACGAGCCTGCACCTCCCACCCAACGCCTTCCCGTCCAGCTTGAGCGCTGCCTCGGCCGAGGCCCGCTCCCGAAAGGTGAGGTAGCAAAACCGCCGCTTCACGTTTTCCTTGAGGCTGGGGAACCGGATGCTGTGGATCTCGCCGTGGGCCTTGAAGAGGTTGCGGAGGTACTCCTCGTCGGCGTCTGGGGGGTAATTGGTGACAAACAGCGTGCAGTCAATGGCCGGGGTGACTTGGATGATCCGGTCGCCAAAAGGTTTGCCATCGCGGATCAGTGCTGCTCGCGCATCGTCCGAGTGTCGAAACTCGACCAGGGCAACCGCGTCATCGTCCCCCTTTTTGAGGTCGATGTTGTTGACGTGGCCGTAATCCCGAAAGAACTGCTTGATCTTGGTTTGGGTGGCGTCAGCAGGCAAGTTCCGCAAGAAAACCGTGTTGTGCTCGCGATCCCGTTTCACGTCATCCCCGTTCGTCTCGCTCCTGGGCCGCTTGTTAGCAGCATCGTCTTCGGCCGGGGTCGGCTCTCGCTTGCGCTTGGATCCGGGTGACGCGGAACCGGAAGCATCTGTCATGGGGACGTCTTCGCTCCTGTCCGCTGGCGCTGCTTGCTCCCGGGCTGCTGCGGCTTGCCGGGCTGCCTCGGCGGCCTGCCGTGCTTCCCGTTCTCGGCGCTTCTCGACCCCCTTGCGCGTCTTGTAGATGGTGTCGTGGGCCTCGCGCAGTGTTTCGGCCAGCTCGTAGTCATTGCAGTGCTTGAGGTACACCTGGAGAATCCGTTCGGGCCAGTCAAGAGTCCTAACCTTGAGCGCCCTGGTGAAAACGCGGGTGGCCAAGCTGGGGACCAGCAGACCTTGAGCCTGTGTGTTGGGGGTAGGGCTGCGGAGTTTGGCTCTGTGTGCGGTGAAGACTACCATCTCCCAGAGATACCAGTTGAGCCAAAAGTCGTAGCTGTTAGCGTGCAGCGGGATTTGCGACAGCTCATCCCAGATAGCACGAGCCCCCTCGATGTCTTCCTTCTTTTCGGTGAGAAACTGGATCAGAATCTTCTCGAGGCGGTAGTCCGGATCGCCCTGGTAGTTTTCGCCGTATTTTCGCTGACCCCAGTGCTTGACATCCTCGAGGGCAGAGGAGAGACCCACTTCGGCAACATCAACAGCCTCTTCGCTGGCCTTGGGGTTCATGGCTGTTCGCTTGAGATAGCCGCACCATGCAGAATACATGTCCAAAACACCCGTCATTCCGTCTCTGTCAAGCTGGGGACTGTTGGTGGCGGCATGCTTGATGCGTTCGACGTCGGCAAAGGTTAGCGCAGCCTCCTCGGCAGCCAAGATGTACCGAGCCCACACAGGACCCGCCCAGGGAATGTGATGCACGGCGCGACGGAGAACGTCGAGCATGTTTGGGACCAGATTGGCCGAGACGCGGGCACGGCCTGCCTTGAGGTCCGACTGGGAGGTCGACACCAGCGTGATAAAGTTAAGCCATGTAGTGTCGTCCGACGCCAGCACGCCTGTCAGCGCCCTTGAAAAGAGGCCGAGACAAATCTTGAAGTTGTCCAGCGCGTCCCGCTTGCCCTTGTGCTGCTTGATCTCCCAGTCAATGTACTCTAGCATCTCTGCACGTACCGCTGCCGTGTCTCCAGACTTGACGGCCAGCGACAGCTTGGTCTCGAAAGGGTCGCGCAGCGCATACAGGCGCTTTGCATTCTTGGCGCTCCTCGTGATCTGCTCCATCTCGCTCTCGTAGGCCTGGCGGTTGTACTCGGAGAGGAATGTGGAAAACATCTGGGATGTCCTGTCCCAGGTGGCGTGCGGGACAGTCAGCCGATTGCGGAACAGCTGGGTGATTCTGCGAACACCAGCCTCGGTCACGGTCCGCCTCAGCAGCTCCATCTCGAGCGAGATCCAGCGGTCCCAGAGTTCGTTGCTGTCGGACAGGCGGTACTGGACAGCCTCGTAGCCCCGCTGCCAGAGGTTGAGGGCGGCATCGATGGTGAATATGGAACGTCCGACCTCCTGCTCTTCTGGGGACCAGCCGGCATCGCTAACAGGTTGACAGTCGTTGTAGAGCGACCAAAAGTACTCGCAGTAGGCCATCCAGACCTTGATGCTCCCGGGCTCGGCCGACACGGCGTCGTTGAAGCTCTCAATCACGCGCACGCGTGCCTCGAGGTCGGTGGCTTCGCGCAGCTGGTGGTCGACATAGTCGACCCAATTGTCCTCCCCCACCGGGCTCGCCATTATGCCTGCTTTCTTCGAAGAGGCCGTGTCATTGGATGTCGGAGAGACCCGTCGCCGCTTGTGAAGCTGCGATGTGGCTGTACGTTGGACGGGAGCAGAGAAGACGGCCGTCGCTGGTTTTTTCTTCTTTTTCTCGCAAACGGCTGGCTAGCTGGCTGGCTGGCAGACTGACTGACTTTCTGGCTGGCGCGGAAAAAGAACTGGCTAGGTGCTCGTTTGGGAACCTTCGGAAAGGACTGGGACTCGAGGTTAGTTTGTTTGCGGCGGCAGCAGACGACGATGCGACAATGCGACAGGTGCGACAGATGCGATAGACGGAATCGGGTGCTCTTCTTCTTCTTTCTGTCACAGAAGGGAGTCGCAGCAGTGGTTGTCGATGGATGGGGGGAGTGGCAGCGGACGTGGCACCCTGGGAAATACAAATTCCGCGGGCTTTGACCCCACCCGGGGGCCTGGACTACGGGCTTGGGGCCTCCACCCGCCAAGGCCCCTTCTGCCAACAACCGCGTTTTTCCACCCAGAGCAGCAGCACCGACCTCACTAAAAGCATCCTTCATCTCTCTGTTGACAGACTGACAGACTGACTGACTAAACTGCCTATTAGATAAGCTATAATAAATACCTGGTTGGATACTCTACAATGTATGTCCCCCATCCCGACAGTCTGGGCTCACGTGTGGCCGTGGGCCTGGCTCCCGTCCAGGTAGTGCAAAACGCCATGCAAAAAACAAAAAAACTTAAAAAATTAAAAAAATTAAAAAAAATAGGAAGATGGGACGGCGGGGTGCCGGGACCGACTCCATCTTTGACATTTGGATGTATCCAGGTGTCTTCTGTATTTACACTACTGAAAGAGAAAAAGGACCCTGGATTCAAGTACCTAATTTTTACCTACCGTTGGTGAAAAGGCCAGACAGGCAGAGACACGGCTGGACAGATTCATCCGCCCTGTGGTTTCTAGTGGTTCTTGTGGTGCTTCCCATCTCATGGCCGCTCGTCATTGTCAGGCCGCCGAGACTTGGGGGTCTCCGCTGATCCATGTAGATCACGACTGAGGCTGGCCAATCACAGCATCCCCTTCCTCCGTCCCGCAGGACCCTGACCAACCCTGACCACCGGCCACGGAGTGCCCATTCGCGACCACGAGCCTGCCGAGTGATTTTACAGCTTGTTTTGTTTTTCAGCTGTTGCCCTGCCTCTTTTTTTGTGCAGGCTGTCAGGCTGTCAGGCTATCAGGCTGTGCCATCAAACAGAGGACCGTCTTTGGTGATTCCAGGCCCGTCTGTCTCAGTCATCCGCCTGACGGGACCTATGACGTAGTGGCGCATTTGCAGGGTGCCATCAGGGACTCGTCAAAGTGCCGTCATATCCGATCGAGCAAAGCGTTCTAGGCCCCCCAGCGAACACCCCGCACAAAAGTCGCGCCATGCCGCTGACCAATCACCAACCGCCGTTTGACGAGGCTGTCTTGCTGAACACACGCCCAATCATGTGTAACAGTATGTCTATCACAAGTGTACCAGTCAAAACTGAAGTCCATATATTTCTCAATTAGATAGACAATGCTGTTCTTAGAAGTTGTGCCCAAAGACGGGTTAATACGCAACTTGCAGTGGAGAAACTACTTGAGTGACTGCTACTATAAAACATTGAGCTCAAGTCAACGCGACGGTCGACCTGACCTATCTTTCGAGCGCCTGATGGATTCAGAACTCCCTCGCGACTCTTACCAGCAAACAAACTTCGCATTCCGTTGGCAATCAATCTATCTACCCACTCTTCAAATTCCCCTTCTTTTGCAAGTTCTCACGGTTCTATATCTTCCTGACTCTGTCACTCCAGCCCCACCATCTCCAACCATGGCAACTAACGATCTTCAGATTCTCCATCCAGACTCAGCCAGAGTTCACTTGAACTCTCGTGGCTTCGTCAAGATCGAAAGAGTCGCTCAGAGCACCACCGAACCAGCGACCGACGTCCCTTGGTTAACGACTACTGGCCCGCCGACTGAAGAGATCTATCTTGCCAGAGTCACTGCCGGCAATCTAGAAGAGCTTGCCACGGCTCTTCGATGCCAACGAGACGGCGACACTCAGTTGTACGAAGTTGCTATCAGAGCTGTCCCCGCCAGCAGTTCCTCGTCGGTTGTCGCCCCCACGCCTTCTCAAACTCCCGAGTACTCGATCAACAGTGCAGAACACTGCGAGAATGATGACTCTATTGACAGCGATGAGCTCCTCGTCACAAGCCTGCGGCAGAAGTTGCGTAAAAAGAAGAGGGGTAAGTAGATGTCTTGTCAAAATGAGTGGCAATACATCAAGCCAGCTTGTTTTGTATCTGCAACTAACTGGTTGTCCTGTCAATACAGCACATAAAGCAACTTCCACTCCTCAAAGACAGCAGAACTCTCGCAGCTCTCACACCATCTCTTTCCCTCCGCCTCAAGCTCTTGGGCCCAAGGCCAGCCCAAGCCTCTTCTTCCACTGGTCTCACGCCGAAGATCAGAAAGCCCGCAGGCAAGCCAGAGCTGCTCAGATCGCCGCCTTGGTGTTGCAGACTCAACGGCGGCGCAGATCAAACAGATCGCGACGTTGAACACTGGTAGATTTAAAAATCACTTCGGGCTGAGTGATGAGAGATGTTGGGGAGATCTGAGAAGCATGCTAAACTATAGAGCAAGAATTGGCGATGTACGGTACCACTTGTACTCAGGGATGCCATCTGGGGATCGGCCATAGCGAGCTCTCAGATTCTATAATAAAAGCATTGATAAGAGCCCTCATTTGGAAAATACAAGGTCGTCTTTGAGCCCTAGCTTTATTCAGAACCTCAGTGCCTAGTATATCAGGATCGTGTTAGTAATTCCAACTTTCCCTTTCTGTTGCCGAGCTCAAGGAATTCACCCTTCTCAAAATCCCTTAAACACGAACATCACTGGAAGTAAGAAATCGCAACCTCCAACTGTTCAACCTCCTCTTCCCCTCCACAGCCACCCACCCTCCCAGCAACAGCCCACTACCCAATGCCACAAAACAATACCACCATAAACAAACCAGCCGCATCTATGTCCCTCGGTACAAAATTCAACTTTCAAACCTACAGAATTCCAAATTCAACCACACCTCACATGGATGATTAAACCCGTCCCCCCGCTCCAAGAAAAAACGCCCAACCTCATCACATCACTCATTGTCAAAAAGTCCAGACAGACTATCCCATCCATCCATTCGTTCCTGCCGTCCCTCCTCTCCCTAATTTATCCAATCATTTATTACAGGCGGGGGTGCGCATCTAGTATCTAGCAGCACCTCTTATGAAAAGAAAACATGCCCCTGCAGCAGTTGCACCCAATGGTGAACCCGCCCCCGCGGAGGTTGAGCTGCCCGTCGTCACCATCGTCGCCGTCTTGTGTCATTTGGGGTGCGGGGTGGGATTTCTGGTAGGTCAGGCCAGGTTACATTGTCAGCGAGGGAGGGAGGGAGGAAAGGCTACAGAAACAAAAACATACGGGTTGGTCGGTGATGATTTGTTTGTTTGGTGGTGCTGCTGCTGACATTTGCATGGCTTGCGGGGTGGGGGGTTGATTGTTATGGGTGGAGGGCATTTTGACGGTGAAAGATGGAAGGATGAGGGGAGAAGAAAAGTGGGAAAGGGTTGTGGTGTGAAAAAAAAACCTAGAAGGTGAGATGGTGGAGTAGGTCGGTGTGTGTTGAGGGTGTCGTCAGCGTGGGCAGGCGGGGAGGAGGAGAAAAACCAGGGAAACCCGATGGCGGTAGTTGTTGAAATAAAGTTGGGTAGGGAGGAGGGGGAAGAGGGAAAAAAATAAAAAGGTCGGTCTGGACCGGCGATTGGGGAGGGAGGTCAGCCAATGAAGAAAGATATAAACCGGGTGATCACCGATGCTGAGACAGGCACAACAGGCACGGGGGGAGGGGCGGTGCGTGGTGAGATGTGATTGGTTACGACACAAGAAGAGGGGGGGCTGGCTGGACTTGAAAAGAGGATGGGCGGGGCATATCATTGATATGTAAGAAAATATCCTTGGCAATTTCTCTTTCCTTTCTTTTCAATGGCTGTTTGACTGGAACATGATAACGACCGACGCCTACTACGACCTCTGCCAGTATTTGTACGTGTATGCTTCCACCTACTACCCACCCAGCACACCCAACCTCCTCCTACACACAATCCAGATCTTTTACTCCTCGCCTAAGACAATAGGTAGTCAGTCCGCAAAATTCTTCCTCTCGCAACCCTCTTTTTTCGCGGGCTCACTATGCCTTGGGCTTCGTACACTTTTGCCACTGCAAGTAATGCTTCTGCACAAACTTGAGATCCGTCGAGTCGACCTATAAAAATCGGGTATTCCGAATCAACATGGGATTCTCTCTCTTTGTTTTTGACAAAACCAACAACCCCCTCTTCCACCTTGTCATCAAGTTTCTGGTAACAAAAAAAAAAGAAAAAAAGAAAAAGAGGAAATCACTCGGTGCATCTCCGCCACCTTGTCCTGATCTTCTCGAGTCTTCTTACCGTAAGGAGGGCGGGCTTGACCGCGTCCATGGGCGACAGCCGCACCTCGGAGTTGATGTTGAGGAGCCCCTCCAGCCCGCAGGGGGACCAGACGGTCGACTCGACGCCAAAGGTGTCCGTCTTGAGGTAGTTGTCGTCGTAGGGGCCCTTGAGCGTGAGGGTCGAGGTGATCTGCGGGTGGTGGTGTTGATGGTTAGCATCGATCTCGGTTCGTTCGTGAGCAGAGCATGAGGGGCCTGACTGACCTGCTTGGAGTCGCCCGAGAAGTAGTAGGTGGCCTTGCAGGTGCCCGTGTCTCCGGCGGGGATCTGAGCGTACCCGCGGTAGTCGGCCTTGAAGACGGAGAACTGGTAGCCCTGGGGGTACTTGATCTTGACGTTGAGCTGGCAGTTCTTGCGGTAGTTGGACGCGCTGATGCCCTGCCCGGCTTGCGCAACAAAGTTGGCGTACAGCAGCGTGATGGTGGTCAGGTCAGAAGAGAGCTGGCCCGAGACTGTACCAGCAGGGCAACCGGAGCCGGCAAAGGCGAGGCCAACGATGGAAACCTCATGGCCAGACGGGGTGTCGGCGAGGGGATCAACGAGAACCGGAGAGGCCGTGGCAAGGCCAGCCACGAGGGGGAGAATGGAGAGCTTCATCGTGAGTTGTTCTGAAGGTTAGATGGCGCGATGGTTGGTGATGATGAAGCCAAGGTGATTCTGAGGAGGATTGAAACAGCCTTCTTATACCCCGAATCTTTAAGTGTTCTCCTCCATAAGCTGCTGTTGCTATTTTCGTCGCCATCAAGACCGCTCCAGATCGGCCGAGACGATGCCCTCACTCTATTGCGGAATTACGGCGTCACCTTCCACGAGATCAGCAGTCATGAGACCGAGCTGCTACTGGTGCGGCTTAAAGTCCGTTCTCGTCTGTTGCCCATTTCTCAAGGAGCAAGAGGCTGTGGCGTTCGAGACAGACCACGGCTGGCCTGTCGACATATGAGCTCTATATGAATGCCTAGCATTCCCGGCTTGTTGGAAAAGGTGGGAAGGGCGTCTTAATCTACGGCGACACCTTATTCTTCCCTTCGCTGCTATTTTTGAGGCCTCAATCTCTAACCTGCCGCGGCAGGATGTAGGTCAGCACCTTCACTCTAAATTAAAGACACTCGGAAACCGCCAAATGCTCTTTTGCTGTTACTTGTCGCTCACTAAAAGTTGCACAAATCCAGGCTTTTGTCATTTATCACTGCAGCTGTCCCCACACTCCCTTTGGCGGGTTGAAATTCCATCAATAGACAGCTCAGGAGCTCTGCGTCTCAGACCAACACCGCCCCTTCCGGCGAGAGAGGCGGCAAGGAAGTGCAAAGCGACAGACCACCAACACGTGAGAGGGTCTACGGCGGGCCAGAACAGACCCAGACCCAGACCCAGACCCAGGGAACTGGCTAATAGGGGTCGATGATCATATTACCGCCGAGACAGACACGGCAGAGAAGCGAGAATCCGGGGCACCCTCACCAGCTGAGCGACTGTGTGAGAAATAGGCTAAACAAGATAAACATGCTTTCTGACATGGCATGTGCAATCTCGTGTTCTCACAGGCCAATCAATGTTATCAGATCCGGGATCCCAAATGGTTTCGGGAGTTCTCGGTGAGATCGAAGCCTCTTCAACTGTACAGGCTCCCTAAGAAACTCGGAGCTTTTTGGATGAGCTAACAGCATCCGCCAGATACACACAAGATTGGATATTTCTTCCACTGACTGATGGTTATCACCGAGTCGTTAGATCTCAAAGATCGCATCAATATCAGATACCTATCCTCAAACATCACCTCCACCATGGTCTCTACCACAAGCTCATATCTGCATTGCCAGTTAGCAATATTGACCTCGATCCATCAAACATGTGTTCCATCTCTTTGAGCTGCAAATTCCATCCTTCCACACACCACTCTTCTTCCACCTGCCACACGGTCAAAAACAAAGCATTCAGAAGTGTCGTAAAAACCCAGCCCCCTCCCCCAGAGCTAATCTGATAAATCGATCTTCCCCCGCAGTCTATTCATCACCACCCCCATCACAAGCAAACATCACCATCTCTGACCTTTCCATTCCTACCTGCCTACCCCATCTGTTTTGATGCCCATTCTGATCGCTACCTCGTGTTTCACCTAGATGACGCCTATCATAGCGTTACCCGAGGGGGTCGTGGACTGCTAAAAGAAGAGACGTACCATCACTACACGTTAGAACTCCCAGAAAAAGAGGGAGGAGGTAAAGGTAACAAGGGCGGGGTGATTCTTGCATCGATTCTCGATATCTTTGATTGGATACCATCGAGGTTCCAATCCTGAACGTAAATGGTTTCATCTTGAGGAGAGAGGATGGTCTAAAAGATCAACATGAAGGACAGAGAGAGCAGGCAGATGTACACCACCTTTCCCAGACTTCAAACCGCGGGAGAGCAATCGTAGAGTGAATCTGGCTTGGCCATACTGACTTGACCCACCTCACACCCACATGACATCTTGTCTTTATCCCGCTACCTTTACACATGCCACACCCATAATACACAACTCCTCCCCAGATCTACCCAATCCCAACCCACCCCAACTCAATCCAGATCCTACCTCAACTCCTTCCCCCCAGCAACACCACCACCACCCTTCTCCCTCTCCCTCTCCCTCACCTCCCACGCCAGCCCAAAAATCCTCTGCCAAACCTCCAACCACCTCTCCTGCTGCGCCGTCACCAACCTCCCCGGACTCTTAAAACACCTCGCCAGCATCTCCCTGAGCCTCGCCCTCAGCACCTTCATAACCAACATGGTCTTCCAATCCGGCACCGCAAACCTCGCCCGGTTCCCATCCAGTACCAAAACCCCCGAGTACAAATCCGCGCGGACATCCCCACAAAGCAGCGCAACAGCAAACGGGTCCACAGCCGTCGTCTCGTGAGCGTTCAAGAACCTAAAAACAACAAACAAACACAGTTAGCAAAAGAGGTCCCCAACCACCCCCCCAGAAAAGGAGAAGAAAGGAAAAGAAAGAAAAAACACATACTGCTTGTTCTGCATAATATGATAATAACTCATCCACTTCACCTCCCCATTCCCACCCCCTTTATTCACACTGCTAGGATGCAGCTGGATCGCCTGGTTGTTCCCCACGTTCCTCCACCCCTTCCCCTCCCTCACCAGCAGCTTGGGGTAAAAGCTCCACGCGATCACGCTCTGCGCCACAACCTCATTGTCGCTGTTGCCGTCCACCCTCTTCGGTATCTCAAAAAACACCTGCCCGCTCCTCCTCCTCCGCCCGCCAAACCGCAGCCGGTTGTGCGCCTGCCTCTCCTCGGCCGTCAGCTGCAAGAAGCCAGAGTCCACCACCGAAGTGATGAGCTGGCCCTTGAGGTCCTCAATGTTGGCCAGCGTCTGCGGCGACAAAAAGTTCTTGCGGCAGAACTGGTACTCTGCCCCGCTGCTCGCCGAAGACTGGCAGACACGCTTCCAGGCCGAGTAGGCGTTGTAGACGGTCAACAGGTCCGAGTCGCCCTTGCGGAAGCCGCGGCGGACAGTGTCGGCTTGGCTGCGCTGGCCAAATGGGGCGATAAAGGGGGATTTGGACGACAGGATCGCCGCCACCGTGACGGCCATGTCTAGGCACTTGAAGATGGAGCCCAGGAGGATCAGTTTCCCGAGGAAGACATCAAGAGGTAGACGGGCAAGCTGCAGACCGAGCGGTGTCAGCTCCTCAGACGAAGCCGTCAAGGCACGAACATCCACCAAGGCATCGATAGCCCTCCGAATGTTTTTTGCTGAAGGGGGATCCAACGCCTCGCCCAACGTCTCCTCGATCCCACCGATCTTGCACGTCTTGACCCGAATCGCAAGCTCCTGCAGCGACAGCCGCAGCATCTCGGGGGTCTGCTGATCACTCATGATATTGTCGTGGCGGTACTTGGTAAACATGTGGAAACACAGACCCTCCTGCACACGACCAGCACGACCGCGACGCTGCTTCGCGTTGGCGCGGGAGATGAACGTGTCAATCAGACGGGAAAGCTGCCGTCTCTCGTCGAAGCGCATCTCGCGATGCTTGCCCGTGTCAATGACACACGTCACATCAGGGATCGTGATACCCGTCTCGGCAATATTGGTCGCCAGGACAATCTTGCGAACACCCGGCGGCGGCACCAAAAACGCCGCCTCCTGCTCCTCCGTGGCAATAGACGAGTGCAAGGGGTAAACCAGCCAATTCTCCGCAAAGAACTTATCACCCAGCAGCATGTCGTTGAGGGTGCGAATCTCGGCAATACCCGGCAAGAAGACCAAGATGGCCTTGCTGAAATCTGTGTAATTCGGATCCACCGCAATCCTCGAGATCAGCTGAAGCACCAGGTCAAAGTCGATCTGATACTCGTCCATCGCCGCCAGGGTATTGCGGGTACGGGGCGAGTACTGCCGGAGCGCTTTGATGAGTTCAGGTTTGGACGAGTTGTCAATCTCAGCCTCGACATCATCATCCAAATCGGTGAACTTCTCCTTTGACGGTCTCGTGTCAAGCGAATACCCAGTCAACTCGACGGCATCTTCCAGATACGCAACACTAACCGGGAACGTCCGGCCAGGAACGGTAAGAACCGGCGCGCCGCTCAGGTACTTGGAGAACCGCTCAGCATCCACCGTGGCCGACATGAGCACCACCTTGAGATCCTTTCTTCGAATCAGCAGCTTCTTCAACACAATCAAGAGGAAATCGCTGTCGATGGAACGCTCGTGGACCTCATCAAGGACCAGATGCGTGATCTCTTGAAGGTCGTTGGAGCTCTCGAGCATGCGCATGACTATACCAGTCGTGGCATACACAAGCCGCGTCTCCCGGCAAGTGTTGGACTCGAGACGGATCGAGTAACCGACCAAGGACCGAGATGTTCCCAAATCGCCCTTGTTCTCTCCCAGCTCCTCACTGACGCGCTTGGCCAGCGAGAGGGCCGAGATACGACGAGGTTCTGTGCAGTAAATCTTGCACGGCCTGCCCTTCATGAGCTGGTCTTCGAGTAGAAACGAGGGGACCTGCGTGCTTTTGCCGCAACCAGTCTCACCGCACACAATCACCACCTGATTCTGCTCGACGGCGTTGACCACTTGCTCTCGGAACTGCCACATGGGCAGCTGTACTCTTGACTGCAGCATAACTTGAAACCGAGGGGTTTGTGCTTTTTGCAACCAGATATTTTGATAATACTCGGGATCAAATGATTGTCGCTTGACCCGTTCATTGTCGGACTGATCCGAGTCCGTCAGGTTCTTGTTCTGGCCACGCCCCTTGAAGCCCTGAATCAAGACACCATCCTCCAGTTCCTGCTCCATTCTAGTGCGAACCATATCCCGGAGATGTCTGAGGGCGTCGCGGTCCAGCCCGTCCGCCTTGTTCTTCTTGGCCTCGGCCATTTCTGACCAGAGATCCTTCCAAGTGGCAGGCAGCCGGAGGGCCACCTTTTCCTCCTTGCCCGAGGATCCAAAGATGCAAAACAGGGCGGTTGTGGCAATGTAGGCTTCAGACTGTTTCAAGTCGGAAGTAGAGATGGAGATCATCTTGTAGACAAACTGCGTTGGCGACATGAAGACCTCAATCTCGGTGCTTTCAGGCGGAGGAGGGATATCTTGAGGTTTGGACCAGACAATCTCGACGGCATGTCGGTTCGCAAAGGCAATATCGGAGAGAACATGGTATGATATCCGAACAGATGAGTCCCTCGAGCGGCACGCCTCCTCCAGAACCCGTATTGGGCTCACGCCAGTCCACTTCCCAAAGTCCCTGATGGTTACTTTCGAGCCATCTGCGCCGTTCATGACAGTGTTGGACTTTCCAGTCAGTGGGTCAACCTCATTCACTGGTAAGCTAGCAAAGAGATCGGCCAGAGCACCGTCCTCGTCATCATCCTGTTCGGCCAGAATCTCAGCGGCAATACGTTCCGCTTCTTCGTTGATATCGTCTGACTCGGCTGTTGGCGCAGGAGCGGGTTCCTCCTCGGCCTGTTTCTTCTTTGCCTCCGCCTTGGCTGTCGCGTAGTCCTTTTCGAGAGCAATTTTCTTGTCTCTCCATTGCTGCTCGGCCACATACTTGTCAAAGAGCACATCCTTTTCGATCCTGTCGAGCTTGGCCAAGCAAAGAGCCTCTTCTGGGTCCGCCACAGTGTTTCCCTTGGCACCACCCTTGCCTTTGGCCACATCTTGCCGCGGGCGCCGAATCTCGAACAGTTTCTCCTGTGTCTCGAGGTACAAGGGCAGCAGTTGGTCAGGCTCGATATCCTCATCGTATGTTACGTTCGATTTCTTGGGCGACGGTTGACGAGATCGATCAGGTGCACCATTCTTGCCCTTTTGTGCGCGGCGGGGTTCGAGGTCAAAGGGCGTGGTCGCGCCAGAAGGCAGGGGAGAATCAGCGCTGATGTCTGTGAGAGAAGTAGTGTGAACAATATGGTAACCTAAAGATAACGGTACATGGGCAGGGAACCTACCTCCTTGCGCCTTGCCCGAGCCTGGTTTCCGTCCACTGTAGTCTGGCAGCTCGGCCTTGGAGCATTCCCTGGCCAGCCAGTCTAAAATCTCCTCCAGACCCCAGATAGAATCACTCTTGACATTGGGCGAGATGTTTGGCGCAATGTCGAGAGCGAATTGGAGCGCGGGCTGTACTCTATCCTTGGGAAAGTCGGTGTTCTCCAATGTTTGCTGGAGGGTCCATAGCTTGATGATGAGGTCTTCCTCAGGAGGTAGTCTACTAGTTGCGCCCTCTGATGTGACGCTCGACGCAGCGAATCGGGCCTCTGCTTGAATCAAATCCAGAACATGGTCCATCAGCTCTTGGGGAAGCCATTTCTTGGTATTGATGGTCTCGGCCTGTCCGCGCAGGATCCGTCTGTCTGTCTCGAGGCGGGTCTTGATTCTCTGGGCATCTCTTCTGACTTTGGCCGCGTATTTGTCCACCAATATTTGCAAAGCCGACTCCTCCAACTGGCGCTCGAATTCTTCGGGACTGAGTTCCTTCGCTTTGGGTGCGTTGGTCGTGTTGGTGGTGCCGGCGGCTTGCGGGGCATCTTTCGCGTCAGCGGCTGGCGGGGCGACGGCATCGTCACCTTTGCCGGCCGGGGTGTCGGCGGCAGCTTCGGCGGGGTCTGCTCTGGGCTTGGATGCGATGGAAGTGGTCGCAAAGCCGCGAGCCGGGTTCGCGGCCGGCTTCTTTGTCTTTTTCTTGCCGGCCATGCTGTAAGTATGGGGTGCTGTGTGAAAGAAGTTGCGAGGAAAACACAGCAAAGCGAGAGGACGGCCGGCGATATTATGGGATGTTGGCGCTGACTGACACTGAGGACGGCCCTGAAATTTCTCGACTCAGCCTGCTTGATTAACGGGCAAAACACGACCGCCTGCCAGATTCAGGTGGAGCACCCCACCGCTGCGATGGGGTCGCTATTCCAGCTGGGCATTCCGGCCAGCGCGACGGAGGGACAAGAGTCGTGGTTTGCCCTGAGCTGTGGTAGTCGCTGTCGCAAATTGACCGGGCTTCAAGGGTTTCAGGTAGCAAAGGCAAAGTAAGTAGGCGGTGATTCGGGAGAGACGTTTGAAGCTTGGAAACAGCGGGTTTGAAGTTCGAGAATGGGTCAATCGTTGTTCTGATTGCGCCAAAGGAGTGCTATTGAATCGCAAAGGGTACCTACCTACATAGCTGTAGGTTCGAAGTGGGCAAAAAAGATGAAGCTCCCAAGCAAATGTGAGACAGCTCTGCCGCCGTTGGATCGTTGGATAGGGGCGGGGTGCGGGGCAGTTTGAAGAATTCCGGGCACTCACGCACTGTGTTTAGCGTAATAATACTGATGGAAAGCACAGTGCCAATAATTACCAGCCAGCTTGGGTGTGGCAGCTGCAGAGCAGCCCACTTTGGGCGAAATGTGAGTCGTCGCCGAAAAACAGTCCGTGAGGTGGACAGTGACATTTCAGGAACAGCCTTCTAGAAGCAACATATCACGGCCAGCGTCTTCATTTTTCCCTCTCCAATCTCTCCAAAATCGACTGCGGGACTGGGCCGCCCGACCATGTCATTATACGACCCATTACTTGAACACCACATCCAACATGTCTGAAGCTGCCACTGCCTCTGCCAACGCCTCGTCGAGCGACTTTGACCTCAAGCACGCAAAGACGGCCCTGACCCTCTCGTCCACAACCGCCAGAATCGCCCAATTGCGCGCCATTGACGAGAAGATTGCCCATAAATGTGAGCACCGGTTCCCGTCTGTCCCTAGCAGCAAGTGGTCAAGTGGTGTGGTCAGCTAATCTAACCCTGTCTGTCTCTTCGGCTGTGGACAGCTCTCGACAAGCCCTCTACTCTAGGCCTCCTCAAGGTCATATTCTGGACCCATGCGTTTTACACCGATAAGCACTCTCGACACGCCGTACAGCGATGTCTTGTCTCGATCTGCAAAACAGGGGAAGCCGATGTCCTCGCCCCACTAGTGGCCGCCGTGAAGCAGGAGATCCAGAAACCCGGAATTGCGCCAGGAAATGCGTTTGTGCTGCTGGAATGGTGCAACCTATTGATTGATAACCTCGCCGGGACAACGCTCTGGGAGAAGTTTGGGAACGACATTATTCAAGCAACAGCCGATGGCCTCGACAAATGTCTTCAGGCCACCGCGAGGGACAGCGTGGGGAGGTCGGCGCTGGTCATCACTCGGAGGGGGTTCAGGAAAATTGTTTCAGCCGATATCAAGGCCGTCGAGGCTGCCATCAAGCTTCTCACAACCAAAGGAACACAATCAACCGCCAAAAATGCTGCCTTGCTGGGCGTGATTGCCGGTGTGTGCTCACGAAAACCCGAGGCTAAACCCATTGTCGAAAGCGCAAAGAGCCTATACATTACCTTTTACACACGCGAGATTGTTGGATCAAGAACGCCAGTCCCCAAACACATCGCCAATGGTCTGAGTGACTTTTTCTCAGCCTTCGTGACGGTTGAGGATCTCGACAAGGACGTTTTTCCAGCTCTGGAAAAGGGTCTGCTGAGAGCCCCTGAAGTGGTGCTGAACGATCTTATCACGCCCCTGGTTCGGTCTCTCCCTGGTTTCGACCTGTCCAAGGCACTCAGTGGGCGATTCACAAAACCACTACTCTCCAACCTCAAGTCTTCTAATGCTGCGATTCGCACTGGGGCTGTGTCGGCATTCAAAGCGCTCGCCACGAGCTCCAAGGATCTCACCGAGGTGGAAAAGTCTGCTGATGAAGTGCTCACTCCTCTAAAGGGGGGAAAGCTCGCCTCTGCCGAGCACAGGGTTCTTCACTCGGAAATCCTTGTTGCTTTGCCTACCTCCACATCTATCGCAACCAAGATTGCCACTGGGCTCCCTACCGTTGTGGGCAAGGAGGCCAACGAAGCCGCCCTGAGCGCCGAAACTCTTGCTCTCAACGCCAGTGCTATTTCTTTGCTTACCGGGTCTGAAGTTCCAAAAGCGCTGGTTGACGTTTACGCCAAGGGGCTGGCAGACAAGAAGTTCCCCGTCCGTCGGATTTGGATTCTTCGAACCGGCGAGGTGCTGCGGAGCATTCCCCAAGATACCGAAGCAGGGCTTCCTGCGGGTTTCATCACGTTCGCTGAAGCTGTGGTGCCACCACTTTTGGCTACCTTCAACGAGGTTGTCGCCAACTCTACCACCGCTTCGCAAAACGGCATTGTAACTGGCGCGCTTGTCGTCTGCGGCCTCGCACCGCTGTTCCACAGGTTGCAGAGCGCCAAGCTGCAGGAGGCCATCAAGAAGGCGGCTATCGAGAAGAACAGTTTGGCGTTTGAGCCAAAGCCGTCCTACTTGCTCGTCCCAAGAATCTACGGCAAGTTCACTGGAGATGATCTCGAGTGGCTTACCCGCGCGCTCTCCAGCACCGCCTCTACCCTGGCTTCTAGCAACGCTGCCGCGAGACTAGCCTGGGCGCAAGCATACATCTATGTGATTTGCTCCACCGTCACTACTCCTGCGGTAAGACGCCAGGCCATGGATAGTCTGACCGAGCTCTGTGTAAAGACAGCTGGTTCGGAAGAGTTGTCTATCGCCGCGGAGATTATCAACGGCTTGTGGCAGTGGATCGAAGCTCTCGAGACGGGCGACAAGGAAACAGCCGCTGTTCTTTCCAAGTCGGAAACGACCAACCTTCACCTGGTACTCAAGGCCATTTGCCTGAGCCCAGAACGGGCTGGACCTGAGGTCGACAAGACCAAACTGGAGACGCAAATGTGCTCTCTGCTCGTCTTGGCCAAGCCCAATCTTATCCCACGTGCGAGCTGGATTGAGCTTTGCCTGAGAGTCCAGCTTGATCCTGGTGAGCTCGCCAGAAAATACGACCACCGGCTCATCGACGAGATTGTTCAGAGGACTGGCTTCGAGCAAAAGTCAGAGGCCGTCAAGGCCGCAGCGTACAATGCGGCTGCCGAGCTCGTCTTTGTTGCCCCTGAAACCATGACTTCACGCATCGTTGACCTCATTCAACAAGACCTGGATGTCGCCGCGGTTGAGGCCGTCGGTCCTCTCGAAGCTGCCATCTTCCGCACCCCTGAAGGGACTGCATTTGTCGACGTTTTGGCCAAGAAACAAAACACGGTTCCCAACAAGAACACCAAGGATTATGACACATTGAAGTGGGAGCAGGAGCTCAGAGAACAGCTCGCTCAAAAGAAGGGTACTCAAAAGAAGCTCACTGCCGACGAGACAGCCAAGGTGAACGCCCAGCTCAAGAAAGAGGCGGAGGTCCGGAACTCTGTCCGCCAGACTGCTGCCAAGTTGATTCGGGGCTTCGGCATTGTCAAGAGTCTGGCCACAGGCCCACCAACAGATGCCAGCCGCTGGATCGGAGCGGCCGTCAAGGCAACCCTGGATGTTATCGATGCCGGCGCTTGCTTGATCACTGCAGAGACGGGCCCATTAGCTTTGGTCACTTGTGCCGAGCAAGTCACGAACCGACTTGGGCCCATCCGCCCCTTTATCGGGGCTGCTACCCTCCGCGCCCATGAGGTCTCAGCACTGCCGGACACCTATACCCAAGAGCCTTTCTTTGATCTTGTTACCAGGGTGCTGTACCGCTTGCGTTTTGCTGGTGAGCAGCGCCCCTTTGACACGGTCTCGCTCATTTACATCCTGCCGCTCGTGCTGCTTGTCCTGGAGAAGGGGGGTTTTGGCGCCACCGCTGAGGATCGCGATGCCCAGGTTGTTCTCGCCATCGATATTCTCACTTTCCACACAGATGCCTCGTCGGATGAGGCGGTTCCCCGTGATCAAATCATTGCCACGCTGATTGCGTCGATGCAAAAGTACAACCAGCACTACAAGATCATCAAGGATTGCTTTGCCGACATGGTGCGCTGTGTTGCCCCCAACATCACTCCTGAAGAAATTGCAATCCTGTCTCGCGGTGCCGTTGTTTCTCAAACAAGCGTGCGGTCTGCGGTGCTGCAGTCCATCAGCGCCGATGTGGACATGAGCGATCTTGAGGTCTCGGAAGAGATCTGGCTCGCCTGCCACGACGACGTGGAAGAGAACGTTGATACTGCTCGCGAGATTTGGGAGGAGAGTGAGTTCAAGGTGACCGAAGAGCTCGCTCACAAGATGCTGCCCTACTTGGAAAGCAAGGATGCGCAGCTTCGCCGCGCCGCTGCCAGATCGCTTGCCGAGGCTGCCAGCCAACACCCCAATGTCATCAACCCTATTCTTGAGAAGCTCAGGGCATCTTACAGCGAGCTAGCGAAGCCTCGCGTGCAGCTGCTGGATGAGTTTGGCATGCCCAAGAAGATGGACCTGACGGATCCTTGGGAGGCTAGACATGGTATTGCCCTCGCATTCAAGGATATTGCACCACATTTGCAAAAGAACCAGCTCGAGCCATTCTTTGCCTATCTCATCGAGCAAGGGCCGCTCGGTGACCGAAACGGCAATGTACGTGCGGAAATGCTCGAGGCTGCCAACATTGCCATCGAAATTCACGGCAAGGGCATTCTTGACAATCTCATGAAGACGTTTGAAAAGACGCTCGAGGCGCCTGACAAGCACTCTGAGGCGGCAGACCGTGTCAACGAGGCTGTTATCATCATGTATGGTGCTCTTGCCCGCCATCTCAAGCACGGCGACAAGAAGATCCCGGTTGTCATTGAGCGCCTGCTTTCGACGCTCAGCACCCCGTCCGAAACTGTGCAGTATGCCATTGCCGAGTGCCTCCCTCCCCTGGTTCGTATTTCGGGTGACAAGTCGTCCAAGTACTTCGACCAGATGCTCGAGGTTTTGATGACGTCTCAGAAGTACCCTGAGCAGCGCGGTGCTGCCTACGGTCTGGCTGGTCTTGTCCAGGGCAGGGGCATTGCTGTGCTGAAGGAGTATCGCATCCTGGTTACCCTTCACAGCTGCCTCGAGAACAAGAAGGATGTCCGTCAGCGCGAGTCTGCCCTACTGGCTTATGAATTGCTGTCAACCATTCTGGGCCGTGTCTTTGAGCCCTATGTCATCCAGATCGTGCCCCAGCTTCTCGCCGGGTTCGGTGATGCCAACGCGGATGTGCGTGAGGCTGCTCTGGCTGCTGCCAAGGCCTGCTTTGCCAAGCTGAGCTCGTATGGTGTTAAGCAGATTTTGCCCACACTCCTCAGAGGTCTTGACGACGATCAGTGGCGTAGCAAAAAGGGAGCTTGCGATCTGTTGGGTGCCATGGCGTACCTGGACCCTCAACAGCTGGCTCAGAGTCTTCCCGAGATTATCCCACCACTGACGGCTGTCCTCAACGACAGTCACAAGGAGGTGCGGTCTGCAGCCAACAAGAGTTTGAAGAGATTTGGCGAGGTCATCACCAACCCCGAGATTCACAGCTTGGTCGATGTTCTCCTCAAGGCCCTCAGTGATGCCACCAAGTATACCGACACTGCTCTCGATGCGCTCATCAAGGTGCAGTTCGTGCATTACCTCGACGCGCCTTCGCTGGCTCTTGTCAGCCGTATCTTGGAGCGTGGTTTGGCCGATCGTTCCAACACCAAGCGCAAGGCGGCCCAGGTCATTGGCAGCTTGGCCCATCTTACCGAGCGCAAGGATTTGGTCTCTCATCTGCCTGTGCTCGTGGCTGGTCTCAAGCTTGCTATTGTTGATCCTGTGCCTACCACCCGTGCCACAGCTTCCCGCGCCCTCGGTTCACTTGTTGAGAAGCTGGGCGAGGATGCGCTGCCAGATCTTATTCCCGGTCTTATGCAGACGCTCAAGTCCGATACTGGTGCGGGCGACAGACTTGGTTCTGCCCAGGCGCTCAGTGAGGTCCTTGCTGGTCTTGGTACTTCGAGATTGGAGGAGACCTTGCCTACCATTCTGCAAAATGTCGAGTCTGCCAAGGCCTCGGTCCGCGAGGGCTTCATGTCGCTGTTCATCTTCTTGCCCGTGTGCTTCGGCAACAGCTTCGCCAACTATCTCGGCAAGATCATCCCGCCTATCTTGTCTGGTCTTGCGGATGATGTTGAGAGCATCAGAGAAACAGCTCTCCGTGCTGGTCGCCTTCTGGTCAAGAACTTTGCAGTTCGTGCGGTTGACTTGCTCCTTCCTGAGCTTGAGCGTGGTCTTGCTGACGATAGCTACCGCATCCGTCTCAGCTCTGTTGAGTTGGTCGGTGATTTGTTGTTCAACTTGGCTGGTATCAAAGCCAATGCCGAGGAGGACGAGGAGGAGGATCAGGATGCTACCAAGGAGGCCGGTGCGTCTCTCCGTGAGGTTCTCGGGGATGAGAAGCGGAACAAGATTCTCTCGGCGCTGTATGTCTGCAGATGTGATACCGCGGGTGCGGTGCGGTCGGCGGCTATCAGTGTCTGGAAGGCGTTGGTGCACAGTCCCAGAACCCTCAAGGAGCTGGTACCAACGCTCACGCAGCTTATTATTCGGCGGTTGGGCAGCTCCAACATGGAGCACAAGGTCATTGCTAGCAACGCCCTTGGTGAACTTATCAGGAAGGCTGGAGATGGTGTGCTGGCTACCTTGTTGCCTACGCTGGAGGAGGGCTTGCAGACGTCGAGTGATGTGGACGCCAAGCAGGGCATCTGCCTTGCGCTCAAGGAGCTCATCTCTTCTGCCTCTCCAGAAGCGCTGGAGGACCACGAGAAGACGCTCATTTCTGTTGTCCGCACGGCTCTCACCGACTCGGATGATGAGGTTCGCGAGGCAGCGGCCGAGGCATTTGACTCGCTGCAGCAGATCCTCGGCAAGCGTGCGATTGATCAGGTGCTGCCGTATCTGCTCAACCTGCTGCGGTCCGACGAGGATGCTGACAATGCTCTCGCGGCACTGCTCACGTTGCTCACCGAGACGACGCGCTCCAACATCATTCTGCCCAACCTCATCCCGACGCTCATCGCGCCGCCTATTTCGGCCTTTAACGCAAAGGCGTTGGCGAGCCTGTCCAAGGTGGCCGGTCCGGCTATGAACCGCCGTCTGCCAAACATCATCAACTCGCTCATGGACAACATTATCAACTGCACCGAGGACGACCTCAGGGAGGACCTCGACAACTCGTTCGACACGGTGCTGCTGTCTATTGACGAGTATGACGGGCTCAATGTGGTGATGAACGTGCTGTTGCAGCTCACCAAGCACGAAGATCACCGCAAGAGATCGGCCACCGCTCGCCACTTGGCCAAGTTCTTCGCCGAGGCCGACGTGGACTACTCGAGATATAACCAGGACATCATCCGGGCGCTGCTGATCTCGTTTGACGATCGTGACAAGGAAGTCGTCCGGTCCGCGTGGAGCGCCCTGAGCGAGTTCACCAAGCGGCTCAAGAAGGAGGAGATGGAGGCGCTGGTCCCGTCGACAAGACAGACGCTCCTCCACGTGGGCGTTGCGGGGGCCAACCTACCTGGTTTCGAGCTGCCCAAGGGCATCAACGCCATCTTGCCCATCTTCTTGCAGGGTCTCATGAACGGCACGACAGAACAGAGGGTCAGCGCCGCGCTGGCCATCTCCGACGTGGTGGACAGGACGAGCGAGGCGGCGCTCAAGCCGTTTGTCACACAGATCACCGGCCCGCTCATCCGTGTTGTGTCTGAGCGGTCGACCGAGGTCAAGTCGGCGATTTTGCTTACGCTGAATAACTTGTTGGAGAAGATGCCGGCGGCGCTGAAGCCGTTCTTGCCGCAGCTGCAGAGGACGTTTGCCAAGAGTTTGGCGGACACGTCGAGCGAGCAGTTGAGGAGCAGGGCGGCGAAGGCGCTGGGGACGCTAATCAAGTTTACGCCGAGGGTTGACCCGCTGATTGCGGAGTTGGTGACGGGTTCGAAGACGAGCGATACCGGGGTCAAGACGGCCATGCTCAAGGCGCTGTATGAGGTTGTTAGCCGGGCGGGAGGCAACATGGGTGAGGGGTCGAGGCAGGCGATCCTGGGGATGATTGACGGGGGGGATGAGCTGGACGAGAGGGACAGCGGGATGGTGATTACGCATGCGAAGCTGTTTGGGGCGTTGGTCAGGAACGTCAGTGTGGAAGTGGCCGGGGGGTTGTTGAGGAACAGGGTACTGAAGGGAGGGGAAGGGGGTTTGATGGGGGTGTTGGCGTTGAATGCAGTTCTGTTGGAGGCGGCGGGAGTGGTGGGTGAGTGTGGGCTTGGGGACGAGTTGCCCGAGGTACTTTGCGCGGGAATGGTTGGGAAGGATGTGAGTACTATTTGCTTTTGATGTCTTGTTTTGGGAGTTCGAAAAGAAGCTAACATTTGAACACAGCCGTCAATTGCGGACAATTATATCGCCGCCACGGGGAAATACCTCCTTTCTGCCGACCTCCCCAAGTCGTTTGAGAGCACCAAGCCCATCTTCACCACGCTGTCCACCATTATCCCTCCGGGCAACGCGAGCGACACGCGCCGGTTGGCGCTTGTGCTCGTCCGGACTCTGGCGCGCACCCATCCCGACATGGTCCGCCCTCACCTGAGCATCCTTGCGCCGCCCGTGTTTGCCTCGGTGAGGGACACGGTCATCCCGGTCAAGCTGGCGGCAGAGGCGGCGTTTGTGCAGCTTTTTGCCGTGGCGGACGAGGAGAGCAAGGTGTTTGACAAGTGGATTTCGGGGATGGACTTGCAGGCCAATGCGAAGAGGAGCATGCAGGATTACTTCAAGAGGGTGGCGCTGAGGTTGGGGGCGCAGGTTAGGGAGAGGAGGGAGGCGGAGTGGGGGCGGGGGGGTTGGGGCTGTCGAATGATGAGTTGGAGGATGAGAAGGAGTTGATGGCAGTTGGGAAGGTGGATGTGGGGGGGGATGTTTTTGGGGAGGAGTAAGGGGGGGGTAAAAGGGTTGTGTCTACATGGTGTTACATAGGTAGTTGGGAAGGGAAAAATGTTATTTTGATGTATTTTGCTGATGGGGAGGGTGGTAGTACTTTAGTTGCTGCCTGCGTGTACTTTGAAGATCAAAAAGATTTGATGTCTCCACTTACATCTGGCAAAGGGGTGATTCAAGTGTCATGGTTTGGTTGTTGGTGACTGAACATGTGGAACGCAGTTAAAGTGTTGAGACTTGAGAGGTATAGTGGTGTGCTGTGTTGTATTGTGTTGTGTTGGGTTGTGTTGTGTTGTGTTGTGTTGTGTTGCTGAGGTAAAGAAAAGCCTAGAATTTCACCGTTGAGGACTCGGGATATGTTTGATGTTTAATAAACTCTAGGGGACAGTTGAGTGACAGTTGGAGCATCCTGGATGGCTTTCCAAAAGAGAATCATCTGTTGGCGGCAAATGATGGTAGAAAAGTGTTGAGAAGGTATATGTAGTACTCTTTTTTGAATTCACATTGCAGGCTATTGACTTTAAATTGTAGACGACGTGTATGCATGTGGGTTGGCTGTTAGGGTGTGGAAATGGGAGTGTGGTATTTGAGGAGAAACTAAATGAAGAATAGCATCCGAGACAACTGGCAGGGGTGATAGAAGGGGATTGAGGTGTTGGGGACGGGAGTCGGGTTTTTGAAGGTGGCTGTTAATAATTATTTTGCTGTGTTGCCATGGGCAAGTATGTTTGTCAGGAGAAGACTGCATCCATGGCTTCGATATGTTTGAGTAGGGTGGAAGACGGGCCTCATTTGAGTATCTACCTCCTCGCGATTAAAGGTTCGAGGTCCATGATTGCAAAAGTGTTGATATAATGTTTTCTGGTGGAATGCCTGTTTTGGCATCTGATGTCAATGGGAAGCCGGGCATGCACAAAGGTCATGAAGTCATGATTTGTAAGTGCAAGTGCTTGGTGTCCAAGACCCGAGTCTGTGCCCACGGGAAAATCAGTTTCATTTTTTGTTTCTATCTTTCTCCTGGCAACTTAGGCCTTACTAACATGCTATCAGGTAATCATATCATTCAAATAGCAATAACCTGCCAATATCTGCCCCATGTCAACAGAGAGCAAGCTGATGTTGTCGTTGATGGGCGCTTGATAAGCTGATAGGAAATAAAGTGGGGGCGGGCGCATGGACCGCTGACTCCTTGCCGGAGTTGCAGCGAGCAATTGGTTGCACGCGTTAGGGCACGTGATCCACACGAACCCTTTGCCAATCGCAGCCAAATTTGCGGGCCCACCCGGGAAACCCACAAACTGGCGGCTTGAGAAATTCTGAGGAACGAACTTCCCCTCAGCGGAAAATCCAATCCATCGACAACCTCCCATACTAACCATCTACAGCATCAATCCGTCAAGATGTGAGTACCAGCCGTCATCGATCCGACCGATTCCCACCATCACAGACCTGCCACATTTCAGAGGCCGGCGAGTTTGGGGGGCACGATGGCCAACTCCTCCGTGCAAACCGAACGAACCGCCGAAGATACAGCCCTTGTCGAATCCCCGATTTCCGTCGAGCACACACACACCTCCAGACACACGCGCCCATCGAAAAAAAATAAAATTAAAATACAGACAGAGCGACAAGATGCTGACGTTTTCGGCTCTGTAGGGTTAACCTGAGGACCCAGAAGCGCCTGGCGTCGTCCGTCCTGGGCTGCGGTCAGCGCAAGATTTGGCTCGACCCCAACGAGGTCAGCGAGATCTCCAACGCCAACTCCCGCCAGACGATCCGCAAGCTCGTCTCCGATGGCCTCATCATCAAGAAGCCCGTCACCATGCACTCGCGCTCTCGCGCGCGGGAGCTGAACCTCGCCCGCCGGATTGGTCGCCACCGTGGCTTCGGTAAGCGCAAGGGTACCGCCGATGCCCGTATGCCCGAGTACGTAACAACCGCCTTCGATTTCCCGGCCGAGTATCAGAATGGGAGGATAGGACTCGAAGACAGTCGGGGATATCTTTTTGGATTTTGATGCTCCGGGGGGGGGGGGGGGGGTTAGAAGAAATGCATGACAAATCGAGCATGTGTGCTGACAACCGGTGCAGGCAGGTCCTCTGGATGCGTCGCCAGCGTGTCCTCCGCCGTCTGCTCGTCAAGTACCGCGCCAGCGGCAAGATTGACAAGCACCTCTACCACGAGCTCTACCACTCCGCCAAGGGTAACACCTTCAAGCACAAGCGTGCCCTCGTTGAGCACGTATGTTTTCCTCCATCTTGTGGGCGGTGTGTTTTGGACACATGACACTGACATTCACCCTCGCAGATTCACCGTGCCAAGGCCGAGAAGGCTCGCGAGAGACAGATCAAGGAGGAGATGGATGCCAAGCGTGCCAGAACCAAGGCTGCCCGCGAGCGCAAGCTCGAGAGACAGGCGGCGAAGAGAAACGCCCTTCTCGGCGAGGGCGAGGAGGAGTCCAAGTAGATTTCTTCATCAACAATGTGAATGGACAATGGATTCTTGGCGGCCTTGCATTCGGAGTAATGGGTTGGGCTCTTTTATGGACGCATTCTCTCTACCTCTCGGTCCTCTCTCTGCTGCCACACGCTGGACTCGCTCCCCCCCGGCCGTGCAGGTGTGTGCTGTTGTGATGGGACGTGGTCTCTCCAGACTCGAGACAAGTTCTGGCTTCCATGTTTAGGCATTGAAAAACGGAATCAATGGGTTTGCCGGGTGCGATGACAATTATTTTCTTTTTCCCTTCGAGATATTGACAATCTGGTACATGTACAATGCTGTGCGGTTCAAGTTTGACGTGCTTGTGGGAGATGGACATGTCGAAGCAAACGAATTGGGCGAGTGATCACAAACATGGATGTACACATCATTGAGCGAAGAGGCGAGCTTCGCAAGGTCTATATCCGTCACAAGACACCACTTGGCATCTCTGCTCAACAGTGACGCTACCTACATATCTACGCAACTATCATGGATCCTTGCCAAAAGCACGTCCGTCCCATGTTCGAAACAGAGTACAGTAGGGATACACCAGCTACCTAGAACCAAAACACCCTAAGCTACCTTATCGGAAGCTCACGAATAACGTAATGAAATGCCCTCAACCCCAGTCCGCCCAGAGAAAACACAAGCAAAAGCAGTGCAAAGTATAGAGTAATAAGAACCACCTTTTGTGTCTAGTGGGTGCATCAACGTAATATTGTGGTTGGGTCAGAGGCAGTCAAATTGTTCCGTTCAAAAGGTTGGTGAATCTGGCGCCCGGAACATGTCAGCATGTCCCCCTAAGAAGGAGGACCGAATTGCATATGTGATCGAAGCGCGCTCATCATCCCCAATATAGTTGATTTGAAGAAGAAAAAAGAAGAAGAAAAAGGGGCCATGCTCGGAGCGGGGGGGAACTGGGAAGTAAAATACCCTTGATGTTTGTGTGGGTGCACGTGCCGCGATGCGGCTTGTGGCTGGTTGTTGAGCGTGGCTTGACAAAAGGTGGATGGTGTAATGTGGTGGGGAAAGGTCGGCGTTTGGGGGACGGACAACCGCGGGTCGGGTCGGAGTGCTTGTGGTTGGCGCTGCCCAATCAGAGAGGGGTCTAGCGGTAGGTCCCATCCATGGGTGTTGTTCGCCGCCCGTCATGTATTACTCCGGGTTTATTTCCAATCACAAACCTTGCTTTGGTTCGGTGTCATTGGTGGTTTGAGAGACGACAAAGATTATTCCTCTTGACACCACTACCTTGCTGGAGATTCGGGAGGAGGCAATTGGTATGTTTTTTCTCTCTCTGGGTTGTGCGGGTGGTGTGGTTGCTTGTCTGACAGTGGTGGGTTTGAGTAGGAGCTCGAAACTTGACTTATATACGATGACGACAATCCCGGCGTTGCGGAGCGCCGCCGGCGGTTCCCCCTCGGCTGCGATGATGAGAAGGATGATAGCCACCACCACCACGACGGCCACGATGACGAGGAGGGCGGGACAGCTTGGGGGATGGATGTCAAGACAGCAGCAGCAGCAGCAGAAAAGATTGGTTTCGTCGTTAGGGAATGATACGCAGCAGAAGGTGGGGGATTTATGTTGATGTACAAGGAAGGGAAAGAAATAAATGCTGACAGGCACATGCAGTTGCTTGCGGCGCATTTGCAGCAGGCGGATCCGATCATGTATGATATTGTCGAGAAGGTTAGTACCCAGGAGAAGGAGTGCGATGGGGCATGGGTGCGGGGGTGTGCCGAAGCTGACGTGGTGACAAACAGGAGAAAGTCAGGCAAAAGCAGTTCATCAACTTGATCCCTTCCGAGAACTTTACCTCGCAGGCTGTGCTGGATGCGCTGGGGAGTCCTATGCAGAGTGGGTTTTCTTGCGAACCTGGAGGAGTGGGACGAGAATGCTAATGGTGGACAACAGACAAGTACTCTGAGGGATACCCGGGTGCGAGATACTACGGCGGTAACGAGTTCATCGATGCCTCCGAGAGATTATGCCAGCAGCGCGCACTCGAGACGTTCGGACTGGATGCCAAGGAGTGGGGGGTGAATGTTCAAGGTAGGATAGGGGGAGGGACGGAGTCAAGAGAAAGAATGAGTGCTGACAATGTTGGGAATGAATAGCTCTCTCTGGTGCGCCAGCGAACCTGTATGTCTACTCAGCCATCATGGAAACTCATGATCGGTTGATGGGTCTCGATCTCCCCCACGGCGGCCATCTTTCCCACGGGTACCAGACCCCCACCAAGAAAATCTCGTTCATCTCCAAGTACTTCGAGACGGTTCCTTACCGACTTGACGAGTCCACCGGCCTGATCGACTACGATAAGCTCGAGGAGCTGGCAACCATCTACCGCCCCAAGGTTATCGTCGCTGGCGCCTCGGCCTACAGCAGGCAAATCGATTATGCTCGTATGCGGGACATCGCCGACAAGGTGAAGGCCTACCTTGTGGCTGACATGGCTCATATCTCCGGTCTTGTCGCCGCCAAGGTCATGCCCGGGCCGTTTGGCTACGCAGACATTGTCACGACGACTTCTCACAAATCCCTCCGTGGCCCCCGTGGCGCGCTGATTTTCTTCCGCCGCGGTGTGAGGAAGGTCAACCCGAAGACCGGAGCGGAGGAGCTGTACAACCTCGAGAACCCCATCAACCAATCCGTGTTTCCCGGCCACCAGGGCGGTCCGCACAACCACACTATTGCCGCCTTGGCCGTGGCGCTCAAGCAGGCACAAACACCAGAGTTCAGGGCGTATCAATCGCAGGTCTTGTCCAATGCCAAAGCCTTCTCCAAGAGGCTGGGTGAACCAAAGGAAAAGGGCGGGCTGGGCTACAAGATTGTCTCGGGCGGTACTGATAACCATCTTGTTCTTGTCGATCTGAAGCCGCACGGTGTGGACGGGGCGAGAGTGGAACGGATCCTGGAGTTGGTCGGGGTAGCTTCCAACAAGAACACTGTTCCGGGTGACAAGAGCGCGTTGACGCCTGGTGGGTTGAGGATGGGAACTCCGGCCATGACGACGAGAGGATTCCAGGAGGAGGACTTTGCGCGGGTAGCGGATATTGTCGATAGGTCGGTGACGATTGCGGTCAGGGTGGACAAGGCGGCGAGGAAGGCGGCTGAGGAAAAGGGGGAGGGGAAGACGGCGGGGAGGGTGAAGACCTTTATGGAGTTTTTGGGGGATGGGGAGACGGACACGGAGATTGTGCAGTTGAGGAGTGAGGTGGCGGATTGGGTGGGGACGTATCCTGTTCCTTGGGAGGGGAAGTAAGTGGTGTGGTGATGGGGGGGTTGGTGATGATGAGAAATGACATGATGAGATGAGGGAGGGGGGTCCGAGAAAGGAGTTTAACAGTCCTTTTGTCACGATGTGCAAGTTTTCCTTTTTTAGTTATTGTTGGTACTGTCTCAACATGGGTGTTTTAGGTATTGTTATGCATGTTTTGTACTCGGTGAATGGGTATACACAGGTTTCTGTTAGGTTCGACTAAATTTAGTCTGAATGAAACATCTACATCTCATTTGTTCACTTTGAAGACCGATATCATCATCCATATCTCATCATTAAAAAAAGCATGATGCTATTTTCGCTCATTCGCTTGCTAACATTCAAGTTACCAGACCCCAAGATACCTATCCATTCCACCTTTTGTGTAAGTGTTTTTTTGTATATCCATCCATCCAAGATGCCGTGTATCCAAAATTTTCCATCTAGTCATGTCACGAAGGCTCTCCCTCCCACAGTCCCAACACCCTCTCCCTCACCCCAGCCCTCTGCTTGATCCCCTCGTAATACTTTCTGAGATATACCTGCCTGACCTCCTCTTCCCCCTCCTCTGTAGTTTTCCCCTTGCTCCCAAAACTCACCGCAAACACCCGCTCCCCACAAACTCTCACAATATCATGCAACACCGGCCACAAGGCGAAATCCACCGGCGACGCCGTCTCCCCCCCAAGCACGAACAACCCCTTCCCCCTCTCCGCACCGGCCCTGACCTCCGCCTCCCAAAACTCCAGCTCCTCCCACAGCAGCACCGTCACAACCTTCTTCACCTTGCCCATCCCGGGCTCCTCCCCTCCCAACCTCTCCCCCAACCCCTCCCGAACAGGCCGCCAAACCCCCTCCCCAAACTCCCTCACCGCCCGGTCCAACAACATGAACCGCTTGGCCACCTGCCCAGGACCAAACTGATCATACCTCCTCCCCGCCCCGTAAACCGCATCCAAATACCTCAACACGTTCCCCCACCCCTCCACCACCCCCCGGTCGGGATCGTTATCCTCAAACCTGCCCCCCGCGGTGCTCACGCTCCCCTTTGCGCAATTTACCCCCAACTCCCCCAGCGCGAACAAGACGCTCGCGTTGGCGATGACGTCGCTCCCGAGACAGTACCGCTTCGGCGTCCCCATGTGCAGCACAGTAAAACCGCCGGCGTAAAACCCCTCCCAGTCAAAAGCCGGATCGTTATTCTCGGCGGAAAAGGCCTTTAGGAGTTGAATCGCCTCCGGAGTCTGCCCGTTGCGGACGGGTTGGGCTTCACCAAAGGTTTTGCCGGGGGAGCCCTGGCCCCAGATGAGGGTTTGGGAGGGGTTGATGTACGTTCCGATTTGGCGGAAGGTGAGGGAGATGCGGTGGCCAGAGTGGGAGAGTTCAGAGGGGGATTTGGAAAGGGGGGGTCGTTTGTCCGGGCGGATGGCGTGGAGCCAGTGCCTGTTTGTCGAGAGGCCCATGCGGAGGAGCGAGTTGTGGGGGAGGGGGACGCGTTGGATCTGGCGTCTGGCTTTTTCCGCGGGCGAGGTTTCTTCTTGGTGGTGTTTAGAGGGGCGGCGTTTGGTGCGGAAAACCATGGTTCGTTCGGCGCCGAGGGAGAGGTTGGCGATGAAGCTGTTGGGGACGATGTCGAGCGTTTTGTCGCTGTGCTCGCTGATGTAGTCGTCGCCGCCGCGATAGTGCTGGATCAGGACGTGGTTGAGGGGGTGGCCGAGGTGCTTTTCGATTGCGGTCTTGATCTGGAGGACGGTGGGGGAGAAGGGGAGGAGAGGGGGCGATTCGTCGGCTGGGTGGCGGTAGACGGGCATGTTTCCGTCCTTGTCGACTTCACCCTGGACGGCTATGCGACGAGGAACCTCGCCGCCCATGTGGGACATGCCGGCCCAGCTGACTTCCTCCAGCAGACGTTCAAAGGCATCGGCCGCGAGAGTTGGCGAGAGAACATTGGTGATGACATGAGTGTCGCCTTCACAGGAAGGCTCAGACACAGCACTGGTGAGTTTGGCGTCCACACTCTTGGCATCCGGACCAGCTTCCATCTTGGGGCTGCCAGGCTCTTTGCTGTCCCTCTCAAAATCCGAATCTACCTCGATCTTGGAGTTGGTCAGCTGCTGGGTGATCTTCTCAACCTCCGGGTCTGGCTCGATCTTGGGGCTGTCGTGTTGCTTCTTGTCCATGGTGTCCGTCTCAGAGCCCACCTCGATCTTGGTTCTCTTGGTCTGGTGCTGCTCGTCTGGATCGGCTTTCTTCTCGGTCGAGTCCTTCACAGCAGGCGGAGTTGGGTCAGCGATGGGAGGGGACCTCGGCGGCGGTGCGAAGCTTTTATCGGAACCCGAGTGCCGCAGCCGTAGTCGGGCGTGTGTTCTTACCCTAGTGGCATTCTCAGATTTAGTGATTGGTGCGCCAGGGGCGCGGGCCGGACCTTGTGGGCTGCTCAATGACAGCTCGCCCTGCTTTGGACCACCAACACTCGTGACGGGCTGCTTCTCCTGTTTCCTCAGCGACTCATCATTGTTGTCTGACGGCGACGAGTCCGAGTCAGCCTCCAAGGGCGTGTGTATGTATTGCTGTTGGACTTGGACATGGGCGTCTTGGGAAGGGCGTTGGTGTGCAGCAGTCGAAGTGCTTGGCCCGCTTGCGCCCCGATCTGGTGGAGGCGACGCCGTCTTGGCAGACGTGGAGGTGGGCCCGGGAGCCTTGTCTTTCCGTGGTGTGACCGAAGACCCGCTCGGCCGGTTCAACTGCATGTTGGAGATAAAGGGGGAGAGCCCAGACGGGCGGCTGTCTGCCGGCGGCGGTTGCAGTTCTTGCATGACTGCGCTGGCGTTGACCACCACGCTGCCCGTCAACTGCACGAGCTGTTTGACGGCGTTGAAGTGCCGCAGCTGATTCCGGAAACCACAGCAGTCCTCCACAATCGTCATCTCGTATCCATGTCTGCCTGCATCCAGCGCTGTCGCGTAGATGCTGATGTTGGTCAGGGCTCCACACACGTACAGCCCTGTCACGAAGCGACGCCTCAGTGTCTGCACCAACTCTTGTTGACTCGAGGCAAAGGCGCTGTAGTGTGTCTTGGTGAAGACAATATCCCGGGTGGCATCGACGGCTTCTTGGACTTCTGCAACCAACTCGGCTCCCTTGGTCCCCTTTCTAACACAGGGCTTCTTCGGGGCCCCTCCGTTGCTCAGAAATGCCTCGTCGTCAGCCTCCATCGCGGCGCCATCGTGTTCTCGTGAGGTGGGAGGGCGACCCCGAGCGCTGCCTGGTCTTGGTGGGCGTATTGGCACGTTGGCTGTGATGATCTGCTCTCCTTCGGCCGATAATGACCGGTGACGCTCAAACTCGCTGCGGACCCAGACCACATCACCGGCGCCAGAATCTCGGAAAGCTTTGACCAACTCAAGGGACCGCTTCACAAAGTCGTCAGGCTCGCTCACAGGCAGAGCTCCGTCTGGGGAAATAAAGTCATTCTGGAGGTCGACGACCAGCAGGGCCTTCCGTGTCCGTATGGCCGGAATGGCGGCGGGGTTGATGGGGAACGCAGGGCGCATGATGTGTTGACAGGCTTATGATAACATCAGTTTCTTGTTCAAAATGTCAACAAAAGAAGAAATTGAAAAGGGGGAGGAAACAACCTTCAGAGTATTCTTGGATTTTCCACACAGCATCACCGGCCCGTCAACTCGATATGAGATATGCTTGAAAAGGCAAGAGACAGAAAAATTCAAGTCATAGGGCGCGTTGTTGACATGGCAAGCAAGCGTCGGCCGTGTCAGGTTGCAGCGGGTGGATGGTTCGTCGAGTGGCGCCTCGCTCTGTTTCACTCCCTGAGCTCCTCCGAGGTTGACGTCGATGTCTGGTGGGCCAAAAGATGCCGTTCTCGGATCGGAAGCTTGTCACTGGGATATCCACTTGCCGCGGCGGGGCGTTTTAGTTGGTCGTTCTTGGAGGTTGGCGCGTATCGTCCCTCGAGCTGGCTTTTGGGGCAGATGATGGTGTTGACAGGAAAAGTACACGGGGACATCAACAGACTGAGCCAAGCGTTATTATTTGGTCATTCGGCGGCGGCGCAAACTCGAACCGGGCCGGACACTTTCAGGAAGGCTTCCGCTCTCGGTGGAAGAATCGGTCAGCAGAGACAGCAAAAGTCTCCGTGTTCAGACAAGAAGAAGAGAAGGTGACAAGACGGTTTTATGATCGGGGCCCGGGATGCGGCGGTGGGGTAAAAATGGCGATACGACCTTCATCTCTCAGATCGGAATCTCTTCTTCTGAAGGCTCGGGTGTGTGTGAGTGGTCCGCAATTTATCTGGCCCTGCCAGGCCCTCGCCAAGCACTGCAACAGCAACAACACCACGCATACACTACACGCCCCCCCTCCATTTCCTGAAAATCATGTGTCTCCGTGTCTCATCAACCATCAACCTGCTGGAAGGAGTAAGGCCAGCTCTTGACACTGACAGGACCCCTGCCCCGCATGTTCGGACGGATGGCCCCAGGCCCAGATGCTCAGGGCAAGGATCACGACAACCTTGAGGTGGCATTGGCCAACCACACTCTCCCGGAGCTGGCTCCTCGACCCCACCATCCATCCCACTTCACGTCGGTCTATCATCAGGGCGAGATTTACATCCAAGAGGAGAGGATGATATTCCCTCATGATGCAATGGCTCGAGCCCACAAGGACGAACGAAACTTGATACCATTTACCAACAGCCATCGTCCCTTGAAGACTCCCCTCTCTCGCACCCTCACCACAAAATAGTTTGACACACAAAAGTAACTTGACCGATATTATACTATGAACCATGCTTTAAAAGTAAAGAAACGGGCCCTTTAAACGATCTTTTAAAGCCTATAGACCATCCTTCAAGTCATGTTGACCTACTTTCGTGTCTCAATTATTCTGTGGCAAGGGTGCCTCAGAATACCAGGTACACGACCGCTACCACCCAACCTGAACAACGGAAATGTAAGTTTCCGAACACGCTGTTGGTCTGCTCGTAAAACTCTTATAGATCTGATATACCCACCCATCCGAAACCAGTCTCATAATCCAGGAACAGAAATCTATATCAAGCAAGAACCGCCACTTACCAACCGCCTACAGGTATGTACTCACGGAACTCCACGGAAAACCTCAGAAACATACACAAAATCCTGCAGCCGACTTTGGGAACGTTGGATGATGGCCCGGGCCTGCATATGCACGCGAAAACGGCGTCTGCGTGTTTCTGCTCACATGACGCAGAGACACACGGCAGGTTGGCGGTCAGGGAGATTCATCAGGATAGGAAACGGAGGAACGGCCTGGTCCGTGTCTTTTACTGTGTGCGAAGACATTCATGATCTGAGATCCTTCCATGTTTATGTTGCATCAGACAGCTAGTTTATCGCTTTCCGCAACGCGGCACAGCTCCTGCCAGGCAGGCATATTGAAGGCACAGGGCACATCATATACGTTGTAGAATGCAAGGGCTAATTGCACCTCGTCTCAAGTATATCCACAGGCCAGCCAGAAGTTCACAAGAAAACACAACCGCAGCAAGCTGAATAATAATCCTCACCCGAGACAACCAGGGGCGTGGAGGGAAAATGCAGAATCTGGCGGCGGCGGCGGCGAGCGTTCAACACGAGCAGGAGCATCGACACAAATCTGCAGCCATCCACCAGAAGATCATCCGTCAATGATATTGGATCTCGACATGCAGTTGGAGACAGACATCAAGCAGGGACAACAGTGCGAGAAAGGCCAAGGCCAAGACAAGACAAGACGGGAGGGAGCGGAAGCATGCGTCGCCGTTTAGGTAGGGTTCTGTGCTGCTGTGCTGCTGGGCACAGAGATGAGTTCCCCGAACCCAGACATTGACGTGGCTAGCCGTTTTGTGTGTCTATTTTGGACTGTGCATACCGCTAGATCTGTACCCCGAGGTCGCCGAGCAAGACCTGATCCAGAATATCCCAGCCTGGCTTGATGACCCCAAGATATCCCCATCGCTCTTTGGTGACAAGTAGACAGAACCAACTCAATTAGGCACCTCCGGAATCCTCATCACTCCCCTCCACCCCAACATCCCCCTCAACACCTCCACCACCTCGTCAAAATCCGGCCTCCCCTCCACATCCCCATCCTCGCACCTTCTCTGCAGCTCCTCCAACCCCCTCCTCATCGCCCTCTCCCGCTCCCCCTCCCCCCTTTCTTCCACAAGCCCGAGCACATCCCCCACCAACCTCCCAAACGCCGCCACCTCCACCCTCTCCACCCCATCCTCCTCCTCCCCATACACGCTCGCCGCCCCAAAATCCCCCAACAACCCATGCCCATCCCCCTTGCTAGCCAAAACATTATGCGCGTATAAATCCCCATGACAGATCCTCCGCCCATGTAGATGCGCCCCCGCCCCCGCAATTCCCGTCAGCATCTCCACCGCCTTCCCCATCTCCCACCCCCTCTCGCCCTCCGTAAACCGATCCCGTGTGCAGCTCTCCAGATCCGGCGGCAAGCCCAAAACTTCATACCCCCCCGGCACCAAACTCATCACAATCCCCCCCTTCACCCCTTCCCTTTCCCCTTCAGAATATCCCGTAACCTTTCCCACAACACCTATCAACGACTCGTGCGACCCGGCGAGCAACACCGCCTCCATCTCATCTTCCGGCCTGCCGTCGCTCGTGAGAGAACCTCTGAACATTTTGACGGCTACGTCTTCTGTGAAGTCGGAATCAGGGGAGGGCTTCCATTCTGCTTGAGAGATGATGCCCGAGGCGCCCCGGCCGAGCACGCGGGAGATGGCGAGGGAGCTGTAGGGGATGTCGAGGAGGCCAAAGGGGAGTTTGTGGGCTTTGCGGGAGGAGAGGGAGCAGGGGTTTCCGGCGAAGGAGAGGTAGGCTAGCTTGGGGAAGGCGGTGAACAAGAACTTGGGGAGGGAAGAAAAGTTGTTGGCCGAGAGGCGGAGGAGGGTGAGGTTTTGGCATTGGGTGAGGGAGAGGGGGAGGGTGGAGAGGTTGTTGCCCGCCAGGAGGCATTTCTCGAGGTTGGGACACGAGGAGATGGAGGAGGGGAGGGAGGGGATGCGGTTGTCGGTCAGGATTAGCCAGCGGAGTTTGGGGGGGAGGGTGTTTTCGGGTATGCTGGTGAGCGAGTTGTGGCGGAAGGCGACCATTTCTAGGGTGTGGTGGGAGGAGAGGTCCGGGAAGGTGGTGAAGGCGCAGTTGGAGAGGAAGAGGATTTTGAGGTTGGGGAGAGAGGTGGTGAAATTGGGTGGGAGAGAAGAAAGACCTGTCCCGGAGAGGTCGAGGTAGGTTAGGGAGGGCCCGAAGGTGAAGATCTCATCAGGGAAGACGGTGAGGGAGGGCGTGGGAGTGAGCTTGAACTTGGTGAGGGCGAGGTTGGCAAGGGAGCCATTTTGAAGGGCCTCGAGGTCGTAGGTGTCGTTGCTCATTGTAAAGTGCTGGCTTACACTGTGGACTTGGTTGGTGATCACTGGGCAGAGTGAAAAGCAGAGTGAGCTGAAGTTGAGGCGGGTGAGGCTTCCGAGATTCCAGCCCCAGAGCGGGTCCTCATGCTGGGCTTCTCGTCTCACCCGCCTCTGCCCCACAGGGCATACTGAGCATCACATGAGCAAAAGTAAAGACATTCTTATCATGAATATTCCAAACTCAAATCATCTGAAATGAGCGCGCGCAAATCGATTGAAATATTCTGACAAGGCACAAAACTGGTGAAGAGAGAGATGCTCAAGGCTGAAATCTGAAGTGGAGATAACTGTGGGGTTGTGCAGGGTGAAGCTAGTGCAACGGCCCTTTGACATCAGTGGACCGTGCTCCCGTCAGATTGAACCGCCGCCGAACTTGGGACCCAACTTCCATTGCCAATCTCAAACCCTCTCCAGCAAAAGGCCAGTCCCGTTGCGAGCGACAAAACAAAGGCCTCCACACATCCACTCCGAACCGTCACAATAGAATTGGTTCCGTACTCGATCTACCGATACAAATCCATCACAATGTCGTCCGAGGCGCGAAAACGGACGGCAGAGCCCACCGACGACGAGCTGCCAGCCAAGAGGCAACGAAGCGTGGAGGGCGACATCGACTCGGCCGTGGAACAACTGCAGGCATTGAATATCGCACCTTCCATCACCCATGAGGAGATGGCGCGCGCTGGACTGCGTCGCGCCATCGCCCTCGCCTTGAAGCATGTTGGATTCGACTCGGCCGCGAAGGATGCCATGGAGATGTTTACAACGATGGTGGAAGAGTGTAGGTCTTGCATGACGGTCATCAACAGCCTAGTTGAAGATCTAACAATGAAAACCAGATGTCGAGTCGCTCTTCGGGACTGTCAAGATCAATGCCAATGCTGCTCGCCGTTCCCAACCCATTCCTCGCGACTTTGAGCGCGCGTTGAAGTACTTCAACCTGACCACCACTGCGCTCGAACCACACAAGAAGAATCCCATTCCAAGAGCCAAGAGGATACCTGAATACGAGCCGATACCAGAGCGCGATCCCGTTTTCGTCGACATGCCAGTACTCGGCGCGGAGCTGGACGGTGCTCGCGACAAGGAATCTAAACTCTACATCCCCAAGTCGTTCCCTGCCTTTCCAAGCATTCATACCTACAGATACACGCCTGAGACGGTTGAGACCGCTACCGTGGTGGACGACTGGGGGAGCTTTGCTTCGGATTCACAATCCCAGACGCTCAACGGATCACAAGCCACGCCACAGCCGCAACGACCGCTTGCACCCGAGGAGATTCCCCATGGCGATCCCAAGAAGCTGCGCGAGGCTGCCGCAAAGGAAGCAAAGGCAGGGGAGGCGGCTCTACGAAGGTTGATGCGCGCCTCCAAGATCGCGAAGCAGAAAGAGGTCTGGACTTCGGCGCAGTCTCGGCCAGCGAGGCGGGAGCGTCATGAGCTTTGGGAGTCTGCTATGCGCGAGTTCATCGAGGATGACACGAGGGCCAGCGGCAAAGAGGTGGCGTCAGGAGGGTTGCATGGCGAGAAGGGCAGGTTCGAGATTGCCGATCATAGCATGATTGTCAACACGGAGAAGCGCTATTTCAGGCATGAAGTCCCTCGAAGTGGTGCCAGGAAGGCTTTGGCCGCCGCTCAGGGTATCTCCAGCAAGGGTTGAGGGGTGGTATGGGACGTATAGAGCCGCACAGAATGCAGGACTATGGGATTCGGGGATTTGTATTGCAAGAGGAAGCAAGACAGGGTTGGGATGCATCACAGGAGTTTGTACTTAATTTTGGCGCTGGGGAGACGGACGGGAAAACGGGATCATTGATACCCCATGCACAACTCTTCTAGAAAATAAGGGTCAATCAGAAGCATATAGCTTAGCTTTAATCTATTACCATCGCTGAACTCTTTGTTCTCCTGTTTATCCGCAATGGACATCATTCCTTATCACTTATCAAAGTTGCCTTATCGATAGCAAGGACACGGCCCATGTCCAGGCGGGCCCGGGCTCAGCTCCACCTAGCTCCAAAGCTAGGTCGGTGCCCCACATACCGACCGCCAGCTGGGAATGGCTGTCCAGCGACTGGCGGACCGGCGAGCAAAGTGTACCCCACGATCGGACCCTATTTTCGCCGCACAAAAGTTTTGGCAATTCCCAGAGGATCCCGCAGCGCCCCGATTTCTTGCTGACCCCGACGACTCGAGGCACCGCGAAAAAGCTCACCATTCTTCCCAAGATACTTGCATCTCAGGAAGCACATCAAGATGGCTGAGCAACTCATCCTCAAGGGCACCCTGGAGGGCCACGTAAGTCGTCCTTGCGACCTCGAATTCGCCCATTCTCGCTCGAGTTGGATGCTGACGATTTGCTACAGAATGGCTGGGTCACCAGCTTGGCCACCTCGATGGAGAAGTACGAAACCACGTCGAATCCGACCTCCTAACCGCGAGAACATGCGCTCACCAGTGAAACTAGCCCCAACATGCTCCTGTCGGCCTCCCGCGACAAGACCCTGATCATCTGGAACCTCACCCGCGATGAGACCCAGTACGGTTACCCCAAGCGGTCGCTCCACGGCCACTCTCACATCGTCTCCGACTGCGTACGTTAGATCAAGATCAGAATCAGAAGAAGGAGGGGCAGTGTGCTGATTGGCGTGGCAGGTTATCTCGTCGGATGGCGCTTATGCCCTCTCTGCCTCGTGGGATAAGACTCTCCGTCTCTGGGAGCTCTCCTCCGGCACCACCACCCGCCGTTTCGTCGGCCACACCAACGACGTCCTGTCCGTCTCTTTCTCCGCCGACAACCGCCAGATCGTCTCCGGTTCCCGCGATCGCTCCATCAAGCTCTGGAACACCCTCGGTGACTGCAAGTTCACCATCACCGACAAGGGCCACTCCGACTGGGTTTCCTGCGTTCGCTTCTCCCCCAACCCCCAGAACCCCGTGATCGTCTCTGCCGGCTGGGACAAGCTCGTCAAGGTATGTGGGACTTGGACGTATTCGGCAGCTGTTGCGGCGATGATGCCTTGCAACCTAAAGTATTTGCTACTTCAGAGCCTCCGGGCCATGAGACAAACTATTTCACCATGCACTGAGCCGCAAGAGTTTGCAGACCATTTTTGAGGGAGTCCCGCAGAGAATTCCACGCTGACATGGCTTGTTTACAATAGGTTTGGGAGCTCTCCAGCTGCAAGCTCCAGACCGACCACATCGGCCACACCGGCTACATCAACACCGTCACCATCTCGCCCGATGGATCCCTCTGCGCTTCCGGTGGCAAGGACGGCACCACCATGCTCTGGGATCTCAACGAGAGCAAGCACCTCTACTCCCTCAACGCCAACGACGAGATCCACGCCCTCGTCTTCTCCCCCAACCGCTACTGGCTCTGCGCTGCCACCTCCAGCAGCATCATCATCTTCGACCTCGAGAAGAAGAGCAAGGTTGATGAGCTCAAGCCCGACTTCGCCAACGTTGGCAAGAAGAGCCGCGAGCCCGAGTGCGTCTCCCTTGCGTGGAGCGCTGATGGCCAGACTCTGTTCGCTGGCTACACGGACAACATCATCCGTGCTTGGGGTGTCATGTCCCGCGCTTAAGTTGAATGGAATGGTTAATGCTTGAGTGCCCGGGGATCAGTCGGGGCCGGCTGAGGGGGAGGAATGAGAGGTTGGTTTTATGGGTGGTTTGCTATAAAATCGGCCGCGCTGCCGCGTGGGGAGAAAATACCAGGAAGCGTCGCGATATATCGATGGGTTCCAACGGCTGGGAGGGGCGTACTTCGGAATGCTTGTCTTCGCTTTGGGTTCTCTTTCATGACACAGCATTTTTGCGAGGCAAAAGAGGGAGCAGGGAATAAAAAGAAATTTCTGTGCCTGTCACTGCTCTTGTCCTTGTCGCCGTGGCAGGCCTCGCGGCGGGGGAGCCCGGCTGCCGGGTGGCATAGATAATAGCAACCCCATGACCAACAACGAATCATGAAGTCAATTGTTTTGTGATGTGTATTTTTGTGTCCGTTTCAGCACTGATATCCACCTCTCTTGACACCCCAACTGTCTCATGTATTCTTTCTCTTCGTTTCCCTCTGAAATAGAACTGACTAGTTGTGTGTGTGTATGAAGTCACTTTTGCGAATCTCGAGGCCGGTAGACATCATGATATGCCAAAAACAGCAGTTAGGGTGTACTCGAGAGAAGTTTGATTTTTCCACCGCCATAATCATTCCAACATGAATCTCCATATATTTTCGTCTTTCACTTGTTATGAAGTGTAAGTATAAAAATCTCACTGAGGGATGGACCGGTCAGCCGCTTTAGTTGCTATATGCCTAGCCCAACACGTCGCCAGTAGAGACTGCCACGAAGAATAAAGGCCTTTGAGGATAATCAGCAGGCCTCCAAGACAGTTCACAGGCCTTGAATATTATTAAAACGGGGGTTAGAGAAGTCGATTTGCTCTACAGATACCATGACCGAGAGGGGGTTTCTGTTACCTTTCTATGGCCTATTGATCATCCTTTACCGCATTCAACTTACCCAGACAGCAGTGCCCATTTCTATTTTGCTCACAACGTAAGAGACATGAGGCTTGTAGGGATCTACACCGTCCCAAAATGCAAAAGACAAGTTTTTGGGGAGCAGGAGGGACGATAGGAAAGTGATTTGAAAAAACAAAAATCAAGTATTAAGTTTTGTGGGTGAATAGCATAGAGTGGCTAAAGCTGGTTGGTATATTCTCTCTGGTTATCAACGGAGAGAGTTGTGATGGCTGCTACTGGCCCACACGGTTGGGGGTGTAGTTGGCTAAGTACATTATCTGACATTTCTGATTTTCCCTTTTTCCTTTTCTCTTGATTCTTGGTTGGTTACCCGGTAGGTTGGCCGGGACGGGTGGGTGTTGATGTTGCTGGGTGGTGGTTACAGTATCGTCTTTGGAGGACGGACAAGGCAAAGGCAGCGGGTATCATTTCTTTCTTGGTGGTGCTGCGTAAGAAAGGAAAGAAAAGAAAGGAGATTTGGGTTGAGTGTGGTGATTGGTGTTGCTGGTGAAAGAAGAGGGTGGTTTGGGCTGGGGGTGTAGACAAGCTTCATTGATCGGGATGTCCAAGACCAAGGATGGGCTGTCAAAAGGTGGAGAGAGCTGTTCATCAGTTGCAAACCCCGAATGATCTCGAACCCGGCAGATTAGGCAGACGAGCGGTAGGGGTTGTAACAATGCCCACTCCCACTTCCACGACCAGCACCAGCACCAGCACCAGCACCGCCAGTACTCCAATGCCGACCATGACCACCCCCCATCTCATCAATCCCCTGTTCAGTAACTGTGCTCCCTCCCCCTTGCCGCTGCTCCTGCTGCTCCCGACCACCCCTCCCCCGTCCAATCTCCACCACCTGCGCCCTCCCAACCCCCACAGCAGGCCGTCCACACCCAAAGCTGTGCTCAAAATCAAACTCAAACTCCTGACTAACCGGCCTCCCCTCCTCCGTCGCCTCGAGTTCATGAATCCCCCCCCTCACATTTGGATCCTCTCGCCTTTGATGATGATGATGATGATGATGATGATGACCCCCCCCGGCGAAACCAACATAATCCTCCCTCGCCCCATAATACTCGTCCAACCCACGCTGGTACTCAATCTCCTGAAGCCGGTCGTGGACCTCCCTGCTGTAGAAGGGGAACTGGGGGCCCGAGTTTGGGGGAAGA